GCACCAACAGTATGCAGAGTTAAGCTGCTATTTGTTGGCTGCTTCAAGCCCTGGTTATCCCACTTCCAATCTGGCTTTCTGCTAATGAGTGCTGTGGGAGGCAATAGGTGGTAGTTCAAGCACCAGGTTTCCTGCCATGCGCATGGAGCTCCTAAAGGGTCCCAGCACCCTGGCTGCTGCAAGTGTTTGAAGAGTGAACCAGCAGATGGAAGATTTTCTCTATTGCTCTACTTTTCAAATAAATATTTTAAAGAAACACAGATATTATTATGTCCAGAGGTGGGGAACTTCTGGCTAGCAAAATTATTTGGTCTGGCCCTTTCTTTTCTTTCTTTTTTTTTTTTAAAGATTTATTTTTATTATTTTTTTATTGGAAATTCAGATATACAGAGAGGAGAGACAGAGAGGAAGATCTTCCGTCCGATGATTCACTCCCCAAGTGAGCGCCGATGCTATGCCGAGCTGAAGCCAGGAGCCTCTTCCGGGTCTCCCACACGGGAGCAGGGTCCCAAAGCCTTGGGCCGTCCTCGACTGCTTTCCCAGGCCACAGCGGGGAGCTGGATGGGAAGAGGGGCTGCCGGGGATAGAACCAGCGCCCGTATGGGATCCAGGTACGTTCAAGGTGAGAACCTCAAGAATTACGCTATCATGTGGGCCCAAATCCTTTCCTTTTGGGGGGGGGGAGGGGAATGGCGGGGAGGTAAGGATAGATGGAGGGGATGCTACATTCCTATACTTTGGTTTTTACTAAATTCATATTCCTTCTCTGTATTGAACTGCCCTTGTAAACAACAGTGGTTGTACTACCAGGAAAGATGATTAAATTCAAGTAAAACTGGCAAGTCCCTGAGTCCTACACAAAAGTTGGAAAGACTAGGAGGCAAAGTAGCAATACTAAAACACTGAATTATATTCACTCACCAAAAAAGATGACAAAAGCATGGCAATATTCAGACAGGCATTTTCATTACTTTTCTAATTGGAAAGAAAACTGTTATGACCTTCAAGAGGGCAATGTTACCATTAGAGAGCAAACATTTTCATATTCTTTGTTCATTCTAAGGTCATAAATCAAAAATAATTCATAGAGATGAAAACAGTCTTATAGAAACATACTAACAAGTAGTTCACAATAATTGGAAGGAAAAAGATTACATAACAAGATGATTCCATATTTACATCAAAATAAACATATACACATGGGCCCTGCGAGATGGCTACAGTCCTTGTCTTGAACACGCCGGGATCCCATATGGGCACCGGTTCTAACCCCATCAGCCCCGCTTCCCATCTATCTCCCTGCTTGTGCCCTGGGAAAGCAGTAGAGAACAGCCCAAAACCTTGGGATCCAGCAGCCATGTGGAAGACCCAGAAGAGGCTCCTGGCTCCCAGTTTCGGATAGGCGCAGCTCTGGCCGTTGCAGCCACTTGGGGAGTGAATCAACAGATGGAAGATCTTCCCCTCTGTCTCTCCTCCTCTCTGTATATCTGAATTTCCAATAAAAATAAATCTTGGGCCCGGCGGCATGGCCTAGTGGCTAAAGTCCTCGCCTTGAACGCACCGGGATCCCATATGGGCGCTGGTTCTAATCCCGGCGGCCCTGCTTCCCATCCAGCTCCCTGCCTGTGGCCCGGGAAAGCAGTCGAGGACGGCCCAAAGCTTTGGGACCCTGCACCCGTGTGGGAGACCCGGAGGAAGTTCCTGGATCCTGGCTTCGGATCGGCATAGCATCGGCCGTTTCGCTCACTTGGGGAATGAATCATCGGACGGCAGATCTTCCTCTCTGTCTCTCCTCCTCTCTGTATATCTGACTTTCCAATAAATAAATAAATCTTTAAAAAAAAGAAAGAAACACACATGACCAGCTCTTTGGAGTAGCAAGTTAAGCCATCACCTGCACTGCCAGCATCCCACATGGACACTGGTTCAAGTCCAGCTACTCCACTTTTGATCCAGCTCCCTGTTAATATGCCTTGGAAATCAGCAGAAAATGGCCCACGTGCTTGAGCCGCTGCACCCATATGAGAGACCCAGAAGAAACTCTGGGCTCCTGGCTTCAGTCTTGCCTAGCCCTGGCTGTTGTGGTCATTTGGGCAGTGATCCAGTGGATGAAAGATCTCCTTCCTCTCCCCTCACTCTGTAATTCTACCTTCCAAAAAAAAAAAAAAAAATCTTTAAAAAATAAACGCATACAAAATGTTCTTCAAATACATTCATTCTTTAGGATTATAAGTGGCATTTATGTACTTTTTTAAAAAAATTAGGTTCCTGGTGTTTCAGGAGAACATTAAAAAGAGGGATTGGTACAGGAAGTAAGAAAGGTACATGAATAAGATTCCAGGAAATTAAATTTCCCCTCTCACCAACTGTCTGCCTTAACCAGTTACACAGTCATTCCCTATATCCTACAGAGCGAAGCATTTGCATCAGCAAAATAAAGTTCAAGACTGGCCTGCTTACAAAAATTTCTGATTCTGTTCCTCTGCTCCATAACATATTTTAGGCATTTTCTAGAAAGACATACTCTGTTTGAAAGGCAGAGGTGAGACAGGTCTTCCACCTGATGGCTCATTCTCTACATGGCTGCAATGGACACAGCTGGGCGGGCTGAAGCCAGGAGCCTGAAAATTCTTCCAGGTCTTCCACACAGGGACCTGGTAAAGCACTTGGGTCATCCTCTGCTGTTTTCCGAGGTTCCTCGACAGGGAGTTGGATATGAAGTAGAGCAGTCAGGACTTGAGGGGAGCCCATTCAGGATGTCAGCACTGTAGCTGGCAGCTTTACTCCCTACACCACAACACAGGCCTCATGTGTTTCTTTAAATGTTTATTTCATTACCCTATGCCTCCTCAACTTCCTCTTTGACACGCTGCCTCTGCACTACCCCAGATTCTTGGTGACAATCTCTATCTGAAACACTCCTGCCTTTCCTCCAAGCCCACCTTGACTAATTCATCTCCCGCTGGCTCATGAGGCACTTCCTCAAGGAGCCTTACACACTCGGGTCCACAAGAGTTTCCTTCAAACCTGTCAGTTTGTAAACACAGACAACGGTTTATCCAGCCGATGGTCGAACGGGTCCTGAAGGCAGTGCCATGGCGGGCTGTGCTCACTTGCTTCCCCTGCCTGTGGAACACAGCAAAGTGCTCGACACACACTGGTCGAATGAGACAAGGCGTGAGCAACTAAGCAAACCAGCAACCCACAGGCCTTGATAAGGTAAGCAGCAGAATTATGTCATCAGCATAGCAATTTTCTCCTTTGATTACTTTCAGCCTTTCGTCTTCACAGGCCAGAGTTGTGTTTGTTTAAGCTTTCTTTGCAAGGCAGAGAGTGAAGAGTAGAGAGAGCCTTCATTTGTTGGTCCACTCCTAGCAACCCGGCCCCAACTAAAGCCGGGAGCCCACAAGGCAAACCAGGGCTCCCACGTGGGTGACCAGGCAGAGCCCAGGGCCTCAGAAGCACAGGGGAGTGTGCCCACTCCTTGGACCCTATCTCACAGGTCAGTGTCTGCACGCACTAGATGTGCTGGCAGCACAAAATAAAGACAACCAAGGTGGATTTTCCCTCTGCTTCCCTGCCCAGACCAGGGAGGCCGCAGGTCGTGCTCCCTGAAGAGGACATGAGGTCGCTTGAACACTCTCATTCAAGACACTTCTCTACCCACCCAGACACTAAAGAACCTAGATGTTTTCTGCCCTTAATGGCTTCACTGGGGGCTGTGTGAACTCCAGGCCTGATAGTCTCCGTGACACCCCGCAGGACACCTGGCAGGTCACGTAGGCAGACCACTCCTCAGGAAGGAGGTCCCTGGTGTTCAAGATTCACAGCCCAATAGCTCATCGATTTGTACTTTTTGAAAGTTGCTTGTTTCAGGCCTGGTGGCGTGGCCTAGTGGCTAAGGTCCTCGCCTTGAATGCACTGGGATCCCATATGGTTGCTGGTTCTAATCCCGGCAGCTCCACTTCCTCTCTCTCCTCCTCTCTGACTTTGTAATAAAAATCTGACTATATAAAATATAAACAATAAAATAATAATAAAATATCTGACTTTGTAATAAAAAACAAAAATAACAAAAAAAACTTTAAAAAAATAAAAAAAAGAAAGTTGCTTGTTTCAAACCCACCAATAGAAGTCTACTAAATCATGACTGTATAATTAATAATTAATAGCCTGAAATGTATAAGAACTGGGGAGCTTGGGCTCCCTGGCTTGCTCGAGCTTCTTTTTGCCTTCCCTGCGGCTGCCCCTCCTCCGCCCAGCCATGCTGGGCTGGGGGAGGTGGCTGGGAGACCTAGGTTAACCTAAATAAACCACCTTTATGCCTTAGCACCTCAGACTTGATGATTATCTGGGGATTTCAAAATCCAGCACAACAACACGAGCCCCCCACGTCCCTCCCAATGGTCATGATTACAAACACACACCTTAAAACACCCAAGCTGTGTCTGTCCCCTAAAGCCGATATCCAGCCAGACACCCCACTTTCCTAGCTCATGGGATGCTTCCTAGCTTTTTATTTCTATCCTAAACTGAGGAAAGAACCCATCAAGCTTCAAGTGACAGGGCTCAAGCCCTCAGACCAACCTCTAAGCAGAGCAACCGGGGACAACAACTGGTGCCTTGACCTTCTGGCAGTGTCCAACACACAGAGAATATCCCGATTCTTTTGAAAACATTCCCAAGGCCGCAGCAGAGCAAGGCCAAACACAGAATAGTACATCAGCCAAGAAAAGGTTGGAGAGCCTTGGGGAGCATGACCGACGTGGCTCAGCGGCCTCCATGAGCGAAGCAAGAGCTCGTGCCCTCCTTCTCCGGCAAGTGCCCGCAGCAGGTGCAGGCTGCCCACCCTGGACACACACCCTGCCTCACCACCTCCCGGCCTCGCTCCCGCACACCTGCCGGGCGGTAAGGGGACAAGCGAGGCCCCGAGCTTCACCAAAGCGTCAGGAGGGGATCCGGGGGTCCCGGGCCGCCGTCGTGCGCTCCCCAACGCTTACCCGTCGGGCGAGTACTCGAGGTTGAAGACAGCGCCGTGGGTGCGAGTGCTGAGGTACACCGAGTCCGCCGGGTGGATGGAACCGTAGAGATTCGTCATGGTGCGGAAGTTGTCCCGCGCCGGGTCCACGAAGAGCCCGCGGCCCAGGCTGCGCTCTCGCAGCCACCCGAAGAGCCGGGCGCCGGAGCTGCCCAGGCCGCCGCAGAGGCCCGGCCAGCCCCGGCTCCCGGCCCTGCCGTCCGGCCCCGAGCGCCGGCGCGGGGAGCCGGGCGGGGACGGCTCTCCCTGGGCGGAGGACGAGGGCTCCGGCGCTCCGGCCGGCGGCCCCAGCTCCCCGGCGCGCGCGGCCGCGGGCAGCGAGGGGACACCGGGGCGCCGGGGGCTCCGGGCGGCCGGCGGGGGCGGGCCTGAGTCAGCCCCGGGCTGGGGCGGTGGCGGCGGCGAGGAGGTCCTGACGGCTGCCGCGGACCCGCCGTGGGGCGTCGGCTCCTCCGCCCCGTCCCCCTCGGGACTCCGCGGCCCGAAGGGAAACATGACCAACGCCCCCGCCCCGGGCTCCCCCGGCTCCGCAATCCGCCGGCCGACACCTCAGCGCTGCCTCTCCAGCCGCCACTTCCGGGTGCGGCAGCCTAACCCCACCGGCTGGAAAACCGGTCCTCCGGGGACCGGGAAAGCGGAGGCACCGCCTGCCTCCAGGACGGAGGTGGAGTGGCCGGCTGGCCGTGGGTAGCTGTCAGTGACCGGAGGTCCGACCCGGCAGTCCCGAGGCAGGGCAGGATTACCGACTGTTATCCCCACTTTACGGAGGGCCCGTAGTTGAGAGGGGAGAGGGGACACAGGGGAATTAGCGTATTATGTGCAGGTCGCACTAGGTAAGTGGCCTGGGTCACTGCCGGCTCAGGCAAATAACTAAAAAATAGCTTAAAAGCCCTGGTCTACGCAGTGTCTATAATCAGGGGCTTATCGAGGCCCTGAATAGCTCCCCAGCTCCCAGCTGCTGCTCCAGGCCAAAGCCTTCCTCTCTGCCGGACCCACCCGGGAGAGCTGGCGACCCGCGGCTTCTGTCCCGCCTGCTGGCACTGTGCCTGCCACTGGGCCGTGAGGGACGGGAGGTCTTTACAGCTGAGGATAAACACCGAATCCGCAGTTAGGAGGAACTGCGGGCTCCCTGGGGCGGCAAGTAGAGGTGGATTGGAGCACTGACAGCTGGGGGTGGAGGAGGGCCTGGTCACCAGCCGCGTGCAGAAAGCTCACTAGGGGACCGAGCTGGCGGAGGGTCAGGTCCTCCTGCTGAGTTACACGGTGTCACCAGCTGACTTAAGAGGGGGCAAGAGGCCAGCACCCTAAGGTGCATTGCGTAGTCATTCTTGAGATTCCCTCCATGTTGCTCCCACAGAGCAGAAGGGCTAGTCCACTTTACAACTAACAACATCTGTGAATAATGCACCACTTGTGGCTGCAGACACCTAGTAAAGGCGCTGGCTTATTCTCTTCCCATACGTCTGGGGTTATGACCTTGGCCAGGCTATTTACCCATATGATTACCTTTAAAGTGAAGTTAAATTCAATTTTAAGATATTATAAACACTAGGTATTTTTAAAAAAGATTTATTTAAATTCGAAAGGCAGAGTTACAGAGAGACAAGGAGAGACAGAGAAGTCTTTCATCTCCTGGTTCACTCTCTAAGTGGCCGCAAAGCCCAAGCTGAGCAGATCCAAAGCCAGGAACCAGGAGCTTCTTCCAGATCTCCCACGCATGTGCAGGGTCCCAACATTTCACAGTTCAGCCAATTCAAAAATTAAACAATTGTGGAATCTAGAGAAACCAACTGACATTTTGAAGATCTGCATATAACTCCCAGTTAAACACTGAGAAAGAGCCTTGAAAAGTTAATATGGCCACCAACTGAGGCAGTGATGTTTATAACACACAGAACAGGTCATTTAGTCAGGCCAAATTTTTTTCCTAAATGCTCCTACTTTAGGTGTGAGTGCTAATGTAATCCAAATGATTTTTATTGAAACCCAAAATAACAATCATACAGGACTAAAATTCTATTGAAATTACAATGCTTTAAGAAAAAAAGAAATTACAAGGCTTTTTACAACCTGTCTGTAAAAAAAAAAAAATCACTTCCCGTTATCTGAGAAAACAGGACAGACTGAACTTCAACACTGCCTGTTCCTATCTACTCAGTGCCTTTCAGCAAAGTCTACACACAACCACGTGAATAAGGAACAGATTTCAAATCACAGACTAGACAAACCAATTTCAACGTAACTTCATTTTTTCTAAAGCTTTTGACTTCAGTTGCTGAAACCCAGTTAGATGCCACTTCATGAGAAATCCCTAAAACTTCCTTTGAAACTCCTTTGCCCCTGGTGGTTCTGTCTGATCACAGCAGAAGTCAACCTTTAGCCATTTGTTTGAAATGTGTCCCCTAGGTCCTGGTGTCACATGTTGTTGTGTACCCACAACACTGAGGATTCACCTCATCAAGCAGGCAAAAAACATTTATTTATGCCTCCATCCACTGACTGGACTTAAAAAAAAAGACTTTCTGAGGTCTTACAGCACAAGACAATTGAGGTGAACACAGGCCTTTCCTGCCAGGCTTTTAGACTTGGGTAGAAGCAGGCTTACTCTTCACATCTTTTACCTCACTGGTTCTGCCTATGAAATAGAATTCTTTGTTGGGAACAAGATTGACAAAATTAGCAAGGCGGTTGGACATGGCATAAAAAGCTGAAATTGCAGCTATGTCCCAGGCATCTTCTTGATTGAATCCGTGTGCTTCGAGTTTTTTGAAATGGTCATCTGTTATGTCATCTGCTTGGGAAACAGCAAGTGCGAATTCCAGCATTGCTTTTTCCCGAGCAGAGAGGTCAGACTTTCTCCAGTTCACAGATACCTGCAAGGGAAAAAAAAAAAATGGTCATGTGCAAAATCTCTATCACAACACAGCCAACAAAGCACAAGGCCTAACAAAAAAGTGGCAATACTGAAGACAAAAACCAAAGGTTACAATAAAGGGAAAAACTTAACCCAATATAAGTGTTTCAGAAGGCTAAGTATGTTGGATCTAGACCACGGAAGGTAAACATGTATGTCTGGATCAGCACCCCATCTACCAAGAAGTCGTCTTCACTCACTGTGGCTACAGAACTTACTTTTCATCTAAATATACATGACATCAGCACATCCCATATCCAACAGTCACAAACTCTTAGTACATAAGGACCCAAAAGGTCAACCTTTGTACAGGAGAAAAGGAGATCAAAGAACGTTGTTTACAATTAATCCCAACAAGACACAAACTAGCTGGCATTTAGCAATTACTCTGCACTAGGAATGCATCCAATGCTTCATTATCCATGATCTCATCTAATCCTTATAAGCCCAAGAAGTTGAGTTTTTATTATCACCCCCATTTTACTGACAAATAAATACAAGCTGAAAGAGTTAAAGTGGCCATCCACACCCTGTTTCCCACCAAGATCATACAGCTAGAGCACTCCAGGTGGACTAGATCCCAAAGACCATGCTGACAATTGTCACCCTTGCTGAAACGAGAATGGAAACGGCTAGAAACTTAAAAAGCCAATTGCCACAAGGAAGACAATGCCTGGGGAATTGATCCTAGACTCACAAGGATGAAAGATTAGGGAAGAGGATCTCAGCAGGGCCAAGAGGCTGATCTTTGTTCTCAGAGGCTACAAGGTCTCCACTCAAGTCAGGTGAGGAGGCTGGAGAGGGAGGAGGGATACCGACAGCTCTAACCTTGGGAGTAAAGGCAGTGGTTTCTGCTCCTGAGCTCTGAGGATTGAGGAGTTCACTTATGAAACAGTGGAATTTTGTAAGCTTGGTGACAAACCCACACTTGCTAGATCTCCACCCTCAGTCTGTACCTCTGGAAGTAACTGGTATGACATGACCCCTGACAGCCAAGGATCTGATTTTGGACAAAGCAAGAGTATGGTCTTCTACATGGGTGCCAGGGGCCCAAGCACTTAGGCATCTTCCATTGTTCTTCCCAGGTCACAAGCAGGGAGCTGGATTAGAAGTAGAGCAGCTAGGACACCAGCCGGTGCCCATATGGGATGCCAGTGGTGTAGGCAACAGCTTTACCTGCTACACCACAATGCCAGCTCCTCATATATACAGATGAGAACAGATGAAAAACTTAGTGTGTTGCTGAATCGAAACTCAGTTTCCTGTCAATACCTGTGCTGGTGGGAATGAATGGATAAGGCAGTTCTGGAACAAGTGGCAAGCAGGCCAGCAGCAAGCAAGCAAGCTAAATAAAACACAAAAATCCAAAGAGGCTGGTTTGGACTCAGAAATGAAACAAATTTCATCTGGAAAATGCAATGTAGACAGAGTACAGCTTTACAAATGGACTCTGCCACCTGCTAATCATATGCCTCATACTAAAGGCCCAGAACCGCCTCCAGTATAAAACTGAGGTGCAAGTATAAATCTCTCCCCACCTTAGAGAGAAAATGGTATACATCCCAAGAATCTATGCCAAGTTTCTAGTGTCATATCTGGCACAAGGTTGGAGCTCCTCCTCCTCCATATCTGTCAGTCTGATACACACACACACACACACACACACACACACACACACAGCCAAGTGAGTGCTGTGACAGAGGATGGAAAATGAACTCACACGGGTGGAAAAGCTAGAGTTTCCGTTTCCTGCACTAATCAGGGTACAGTGACTCAGGCACTGTTTCTTCCTCGTGTACAGAGAGGCCCTGACACTGTCACAGGGCAGGCAGGCACTCACCTGGTCAGAGAGCACTGGGTTCTTTGAGTAGACCCTGTACCGGGCACTGTGGCAAGCCACGTTGTAGGGGCATCTATTGGCTAGGCTGGTCACGACAATGATGAGTTCCTTGTCAGCTCTGCTGAGTTGGCCTGTGGAGGAAGTAGAGAGCAAACAATCCACAGCCCAGAGAAGACAACAAGCTGGACTGGCTCAGAGGTGTCCCCCACCCAGTTCCTTGCTATCAATGATCATATTTTATTTTCCTCACAGCACTTAATACTCTTAAGTTGTTCTTTTATTTTACTCAGTTTTTCATCATTTGTCCTCATTCTCATCAGAATATATGAGGAGATAGCATCCAATATGGTGTCCTAGTTGCTCTACTTCTAATCTTGCTCTCTGCTGTGGCGTGGGAAAAACAGTGGAAGATGCCTTAAGTGCTTGGCCCCTGGCACCCATGCAGAACAGAAGCAGCTCCTGCTCCTGGCTTTGATTGGCTCAGCCCTGACAACTGCGGCCATCTGTGGAAAGAACCAGCAGATAGAATTTTTTTTCTCTCTCTCTAACTCTTTCAAATGAATAAATATATTTTCAAAAATATATTTGAGGGACCAGACATGGTAGCCTAGTCACTGAAGTCCTTGCCTTGCATGTGCCAGATGATGAAAAACTGATCCCATATGAACACTGGTTCTAATCCTAGTGGCCCCACTTCCCATCCAGCTCCCTGCTTGTGGCCTGGGAAAGCAGTTGAGGACGGCCCAAAGCCTTGTGGGACCCTGCACCCGTGTGGGAGACCTGGAAGAGGAAGCTCCTGGCTCCTGGCTTCAGACTGGCTCAGCTCCAGGTGTTGTGGCCACTTGAGGAGTGAATCAATGAATGGAAAATCTTCTTCTCTGTCTCTCCTCTCTATATAGCTGTCGTATACATATGTGTGTGTATATATATATTTGAGAACCCATTTTTTTTCTGACTTGTTCACCACTATATTCCCAAAAGAAGTAAGTATTCGGCATACAGTGATTACTCAGAAAATGTAGGGAATGAACTACTCAATTCATGAAAGGTTTTGTGAGATCCATCAAGTTCTGGGCTAACATTTTCAAAATGAGAAAGACAAGGAAAGGCTTCCTAATTGCACCGGTCCTACTACCTGGGGGAAAGGAGAGCTGGAGTTGGAAGGAGGAACCCACCTGGTACCTGGCACAATTCTGGAAAGTTCATTTTGTCTTATTGAATTCTCACCCAGCTCTGGAGAGGGGGCATTATACCCATTTTATTAGTAAGGAAATGAAGATAATCAGATAATCAGTAAGAAAACTAAGGCTCTGAGATGCTGAAATACTTTGCTGAAGTTCTCTTGGATTCTTTATGGTAGAACTCAAATGGGAACATGGTACTGATCTTTTCCTACCTGACTAGAGAGGTTACAAAAAGATACGATGCTAACATAAGGCAGAGAGTATTGTGTATGTCACTGGGAAAGCGCAATTGGAGGATGTGCTAGCAGATCAGAGGAAGAAGAATCCCTGGTATGTAAAAGCAAGAAAGATGGGCATTTAAGGAAAGATCAGAGTCACCAGACAGAGACGGGAGAAAAGGAATTCTAGGAGCACAGCAAAGTCTAAACAAAACTAGAAGGTAATCATAAGGCCTGATTGTTAGGTTTGTTTGGGTGGAGTAGATAAAATTAGCCTATTTTGACTCGGAAAATAAAGAAGGGTTGTGGGGAGTTAAGGCCAGCAAGACAGGCTGGTGTCAGGTCACGGGGAACACTGGGGCAGACTGCTACTACCGCCACATGTTCTCACCTTCCTTCTTTAGTGATAGAATGCCTTCACTATAGTCAGGCACATGCCATTAGCTTCCCCCATAGCTACATGTAACAGTGAAACAAGTTCTCAATGGGAGATAAACCAAAGCATTTGTCGACCTTAAAGAGAAAGGATGTATGTCCATGAGTCTCTCCCGCTTCCCTACTCTATCTCTCTGCTGATAAGCAATGATGAGCCTGTAAGAGAGTGAAAGCAAGGGCAACTCCAGATAGTGAATAATACTAGCTTAGTCCTTACCAGATCACATAGGGAATATCAGGTGGGAGAGAAAGGTTAAAAAAATTCCTATTTAAACCAATGCATTTTGGGCCCAGCACCCCAGCCTAGCCGTGCTGGGATCCCATTTGGGCGCTGGTTCTAATCATGGCAGCCCCTTCCCATCCAGCTCCCTGCTTGTGGCCTGGAAAAGTAGTTGAGGATGGCCCAAAGCCTTGGAATCAAAGCACCCGTGTGGGATACCCAGAGAAGGTTCAAGGATCCCGGCTTTGAATTGGTGCCGCTCTGACCATTGCAGCCACTTGGGGAGTGAATCATTGGACAGAAGATCTTCCTCTCTGTCTCTCCTCCTCTATTTATATCTTACTTTCCAATAAAAATAAATAAATCATAAAAAAAGAAATGAGCATTCTTTAAGAAATAAATAAACCAATGCATTTTGGGCTCTAAACTAAATGATAAATCCATGCCTGCCATGTAAAAGTCAAACAGGATTTATACAGCAACTGTAAGGAAACAATAGTGGCTTTTAAACCTGAACAAAAATAAGCCAGAGTTCTTAGCTAATGTGCTTCAGTTCTACACATGAAGACCTCCCACTCAGGAGCCAGAGCAAGTGGCAGAAGTTGAGCTTCTTCCTAACTCCAGGCACTCAGATACAATGCAGGACGAAATGCTAGCAAGTAAACACTGGAATGTCACCCAAGAATGACCCAGCAAAGCTTTTCCATTTACCTGTTTTTTTGTTGCAGATGACATCATAATAAGCAAAGAAGGCTCTGAATTCCAATGGACGGTAAGATAACACTTTAAATATATTTGGTAAAAATCCTGTCTGCAAGGGAAGGAAAAAGACAGGGTCACACAAAATGCAGGCTAAGAACAGAACAAGCAAACAGCATTCCTCATTACTGTCTGCCAAATAGCAGATGAAAGCTTGGGAAGGTCAGTTGTTCTGTATGTACCTTTCCTTTTTTAGGTATTAGTTCTGAAGGTGTGTGGCAAATCATCTTATAAATTTATAGTGAATGCTAAAATGAAACCAAATTACACTTAAAATTTAGATTCTACTGCTTAGGTCCTATCTTGTCACAGAAGGGCCAATAGTACTCATTTCTTCTAAAAATTAAATTAGTAACAAGCACAACTCTGTAAGGAAGATGAGGTAAGGTGCTGCTCTTTCCAGTCTGATGGTAACCGAGGCCCAGACAGGCTGAGTGATCTGCTCGAGGCCAGGCCAGAAGTGAAGTGCATCTGTGGGCTCTGGCACTGAGTTTTCAGAATAGCTGCTAATGGGCTACTCTGGCAGATAACTGTTGTCTGCTTTCCAGCAACCATTTCTTCCCTCTTCCCTTGAAAGAAAGGCCATGAGCTCCAGGGAAGGCTAAGCCCTGTCAAGGCTCCAGTGGGAGAATCTTGATTGGTATAAACCAAACCATTTATGGTGACTTCATTCCACTTCTCAATGACTGGCTGGAGCACAGGTCATGCTGAGCTAGGCTCTTACACCTACTGGTCTGCATGAGCCAGGGATGCCAGGCTACATTATTAAAGGCAAAGACAGGTGAGGGGCTGTGTCAAGCTGGGTCAGAGCAACCACTGGCATGCATGCATTCTGTGGCTGGGAACAGGCCTGGCTGGGGAGCTGGGAGGATGCCCTGGCTGGGTTGGGGTTCCCACTGGTGAGTGTGGGGGCCGGAGTGGGGTGTGTGTTCTGGTTTGGATATGGCTGCAGTCTCCCTTGGCACAAGTGTAGACTGGGACTGGTCACACCAAGCCAGCCTAGATTCCAGCACCATCTGGTGCTCTGGAGGACCAGGGTAGATGTAGGATGGATTAGGCTAGGTCTCCGCCCCTACTGAGCCATGTGTGAGCTGTGTCTGGGTATGGACAAGCCTTGCCTGGGCTGAAACATCCAACAGTAAGAACTGGAATGGGTTGAAGGTCAGTCAGGAAAGGCCACTGTTCCTGCTAGGACAGGAGGTGGACTAAGTAGGGCTGGCTCATGGACCCACCAGGATGCGTGAGATCTGGCACTGGGAGAGGTTCTGATGGAGCAGCCTGGGCAACTCTGCTGTCAGGACACAGTCCCTGCAGGTGAGCGCAAGAACCAGACCAGGCCAGCGAAAGGTACCCACTGGCATACATTTGGCATAGGTTGGAGGCGGACAAGGCTGAGCCAGTTCACATCACCCACTGGCGAATCCAAGCACCAGAAGAGTGTGGGTTGAGCCAGGTTCAGTCACAACACATACCAGTATACATTATGGCTAGGATTGGGTGCCTGCTCGGTTGGGCTAGGCCATAGCCCTCACCAGCATCAGCTGAAATTGGAGGTGGGCGGGGTCTGGCCAGGCTACAGCACCCACTGGCAAATGCTGAGGTGAGGGGGGCCATGCCAGACTGGGTGGCAATGCTCAACCAGCACACGTGAGAAGCAGGGAGGGAGAGGGCAAAGTTGGTAAGGAGAATGTGGAGGGCTCCCTGCTGACCCGCCACTCCCACTGGAAAGTATGAGTTGGGATGGGGGCTGAGGCAGGCAGGGCTACAACACCTATGGGCCTCATGTGAGCTGGATCAGGGAAAAGCCAGGCTTGGTTGACTGTTCCTACTGGTACAAGCATAAATCAGAGTGGGTAAGGGTTGGTTGGAATTTGCCGCAGCATCAGCTGGCAGAGGCTGGCACTGGGGGCTAATTCTGTCAAATTAAACTGTAGAACCACCTGGAGAGTATATGATCTGGGAGTGGCCTAGAAGGGATAGTGGGCAACTCCCTCTTGGGTTATCACTCCCATTGGAGAGCATGAAAACCAGCACTGGAGGAAACCTGGCTAGATAGAACGGCACCCACCAGAGTGTGTACAGGCTGGATAGTGGGGCTGGTTGGGTTGAACTAAGCTTCAATGTCCATTGACATATAGCAGAGCTGCATGGGATTTGGGACAGACTAAACAAGTCTGTGGTACACACTGGCAAGCACAGGAATCAGGGCAGGAAGCGGGCTTGGTGGGGATTATGGGGAATTGCCCCAACTAGGCTGCTGCTCCCACTGGTTTGTGTGAGGGCCGAGTGTGAAGTGGACAGAATCAGGCTGGACTGCAATACCCATTGGTTTGTGTGGACAGGGCTGATCCAGCAATTGCAACCACCAGCATATGCATAAGCTGATAGGGGCAACGGACTGTGCTGGGCCCTGCGCTGGCAAGCACACACAAGAATCAGGTCTGGGATCACCTCAGACAAAATTTCTTTGGGGATCCCTCCAACTGAACTGTTGATCTCAGAACCCCAACCTTGAAGAGAAGTACAGGTTCCATGTTCTGACCATGGAGTGCAAGTATCAAAGCTGAGCCTCCTCAGAGGCTCAGACGGAGCAGTGGACAGCAAATCCAAGTGTACCTAGAGGATATGGCAGCCTATTGCAAACTGCAGAGGACACGTGTTACCACAAGAGAGGACAGAAGACAGAACAAATCAATCAACTACCCAAGTCACATGTAGGCAGTGAAAACCTGGGCAAGGGGAAACTCTGAGGTGGACTATATTAGCCAGTGAATTCTGGAGAGATTTCTTCATGCTTGGAATGGTGAGACTGGCAGCAATTCAGAACTGCTGAAGTATCAAAACCACTTGTGCAAGACCTTCGGAGCATGCCCCACATCGGGGACCCTGGGATGGTAGGGAGGCTGGATGGCGCTTCTTCCTTTATCTCCTTCCTTACCCCAGATACAGAAAAAAAAATGTGGAAACAATGGTCTTACCCACTTTCCTGCATCCCTTGACCCTTTGTGTTCTAATCAACTATGTAAGGATTATCAAAATAAAATAATAATTTGGGCCCGGCGCGGTGGCGCAAGTGGTTAAGTCCTCGCCTTGCAACCCCGGGATCCCATATGGGCGCCGGTTCTAATCCCGGCAGCCCCGCTTCCCTTCCAGCTCCCTGCCTGTGGCCTGGGAAAGCAGTCGAGGACGGCCCAAAGCTTTGGGAACCTGCACCCGTGCGGGAGACCCGGAAGAGGCTCCTGGCTTCGGATCGGCATAGTATCGGCCCGTTGCGCTCACTTGGGGAGTGAATCATCGGACGGAAGATCTTCCTCTCTCTCTCCTCTCTCTGTACATCCGCCTTTCCAATGAAAAAATAATAAAAATAAATCTTTAAAAAAAAAAAAAAAAAAAAAAAAAAAAAATAATAATAATTTAAAAAATCTTCCTGTTTATTTAATTTATCTAATTTTTCAATTTGTAATTTCCTAAGCTACTAATTTTTATAGAAAAGAGCAAGGTCGCTTTCACTTGCTAAAGCAGTTAGTACATATTCCCCATTATTGTATCTCTATACCACAATGTACAGCGACCACACATCAGTCACGGTGAGCAGAGGACTGAGAGACAAAGAACAGGATGAGAGGCTGCAAGGCTGCAGCTAAGCCAGAGGGTTTTTAGAAAGTGTGCCACAGTTGGGACATATCTGCACCCCACAGGAAGGGTTCAGCTACGCGGGAATCCTGGCCAGGCTGGGCCACAAAGATTTATACTGGCTGGATCTCCCCATACTACAGGAATCTCACCTTCATTTCAATCTCTTCCATGAGCTCTAAAATGTCAAAAGGTAAGTCCTTCTTGTAGGGAATGGGGTAACGGCTGATAGGTTTGGACTTGTCATCCTGCTGAGTCTGATAAGGGCGCAAATTCAGGGTCACCGCAGGCAATGTCTTCCACAATCTCTTCGTAACAATGTGAAGAGACTGAAAAGAAACGGACAGGTTTGTTGGTGCGTTCATATCAGGTTGGCCTCAGAGATGTCGGATCTGCGATCTCAGGGACCAAAGCCTGAGGGTGTGTGGCCTGGCCTCAGCACACACATTGCATGATCAGGCCACCCATTGCTGCTACCAGTGCAAAGGTGAGGAACATACCCAGCTACATACAGAAGACTGCCAATGCCTTTGAACCAACTGAAGGCCTCAAGTGCCTCTTCAAACGGCAGAGAGATAAGTAAAGCCTTTGCTTTTGACATAAACTGGCTGTTGCACTTTAAGACAGACATGTCTTTTTTCTACCTTTCCTTGATCCCCTCCAGAAGTTGCTTTTGCTAGGAAAATGTTATAGTAAAATCTTACAATATAATAGCAGAAGATAGTGATAGGTCACATGAGGCTGGTTTTTAAAATCACACTGTTGCTTTAGGCAATTTGACTAACTTTTCAGGCAGAGTTCTACAGCAAGTCACGGACAACGGACAGGCCTTTTAATTTATACCTAGAGATCAATGATGCACCTGTGCAGTGATTAATAGGATCTGCCACGTCTATTTTTCAGTAGTCTGTTTACTTGGAGGGACATTAAAAGGCTTTATGCTCAAACTAGATGGTTTTACAATCTGCACAGGGGCAACTGACTACCATCTAGTGTTTGGGAAATAATGAAATGCAATCTTCCCGACTTAAAGAGCACTCCAGCTGCAACCAGTGTCTCTCTAATTTTGTTCATGCTGATTAAGAACTTGTCCAGCTCAGAAGCCAATGACTTTTCTAATGATTATGACACAGGGTATAGATGGGAAATTCTCTAGCTCAGGGGAGTGACCCATTAGATGAAATAGAAACTTTTGAACCCGGGATAGGCAAGCCCTATTCCTCTAATAAGCCGGAAGTTACCAGCAGAAGATGTGATGAATTTGCACACTTCAGCAAATGTCTGAGGGGGACAAAATTGGACAGTTTGGCAGCTAGCTTAGGGACACAAATCGGAAGCCACAGATCCCCTGCTCCAAGGCTCTATGCAAATCCCACTGCCACCTGTCAATCAAATAGTCCCTCCCCCAGGATGTGCTTTCTCTCACCAGGGCCTGGAGGTGGTATCATGTAGCCACTTCCCTTCCCAGGTCCTTATACAGTCTGGCAACTGTAGGGGTACTCTCTCTCCTCCCATGGAAGACAGAAGGCGGGCCCAGCACCCAGCACGGTAGCCTATCAGCTAAAGTCCTTGTCTGTCGGCGCCGGTTCTAATCCCGGCAGCTCCACTTCCCATCCAGCTCCCTGCTTGTGGCTTGAGACAGCAGTTCAGGATGGCCCAAAGCCTTGGGACCCTGCAACCAAATGGGAGACCCAGAAGAAGCTCCAGACTCCTGCTTCAGACTGGCTCAGCTCCAGCCGTTGTGGCTGCTTGGGGAGTGAATCATCGGACAGAAGATCTTCCTCTCTGTCTCTCCTCCTCTCCGTATATCTGCCTTTCCAATAAGAAAAAAAATCTTATTTTAAAAAGAACTAAACTTGGGCCCGGCGCAGTGGCGCAGTGGTTAAGGTCCTCGCCTTGCACACCCAGGATCCCATATGGGCGCCGGTTCTATCTCGGCAGCCCTGCTTCCCTTCCAGCTCCCTGCCTGTGGCCCAGGAAAGCAGTCGAGGACGGCCTAAAGCCTTGGGACCCTGCACCCGCTTGGGAGACCCAGAAGAAGCTCCAGGCTCCTGGCTTCAGACTGGTGCAGCTCCGGCCATTGCACCTTCGTGGGGAGTGAGTCAATGGACAGAAGATCTTCCTCTCTTTCCTCTCTGTATATATTTCCAATTAAAAAAAAAAAACCCTGTAGTTGGGGTAGATGTTTTGACCTACCGGTTAACAAGTGGGTGTCTCATATCAAAGGGCTTGAATTTTTTCTGTTTTTCTTTCTGCCCTTCAATTATTTTTTAAAGATTTATTTATTTTTATTGGAAAAGCAGATTTATAGAGAGGAGAGACAAAGGAAAAGATTTTCCATTCGCTGGTTCACCCCACCTCCTTCCAGTGGCCACAATGGCTGGAGCTGAGGTGATCTGAAGCCAGGAGCTGGATTTCCTCCAGGTCTCCCACATGGGTGCAGAGTCTCAAGGCTTTGGGCCATCCTCCACTGCTTTCCGAGCCCCCACACAGGAATTTGGAAGGGAAGTGGAGCAGCCAGAATTAGAACCAGCACCCATGTGGGATCCTGGAGCACGTAAGACAAGGACTTTAGGCACTAGGTCATTGTGTCGGGCTGACCCCTCAACTAGTTTTGCAAAAACAATACTCATTACATCCTCTGGACTCTCCCAGCAGATGCACTCGTCTGCTGGTTACAAGTACACTTGGTATCTTTCCAAGAAGACAATAAACTCCCTGAGAGCAGGAAATGGGCTTCAGCTACCTATTCAGCTCATCTCCTGCTGAAAGCAAATGCTCCATTACTAGTCTGAAATGGGAAAAATTCATGTTCACCAGTAAAAACTAAAATACAAACTACCACTTCTACTTTATAAAGTAGCAACTGCTGTCAAGTTTTGTTTATTTATTGTCTATAAGGCAGAGTTACAGAGGGAGGGTATGGTCTATCTCCTGGCTCATTCCTCAAGACTTCAATGGCAGGTGCTTGATATTGCACCCAGGTCTCCCACGTAGATGCAGGGGTGGAAGCAGTTGGACACTACTTCCTGTTTTGCCAGGTGCTTTAGCAGGAAAGTGGAACAGAAATGGAGCAGAGGGGATCCAAGCTGGTGTCCATGGGAGATGCCAGCACTGCAGGCAGAAGCTTAACCCTACACACAAAGAGCTTTTCTAAAAGAGGGAGTGCTATGAGAGACAGACGCCTCCCATCCAGTCCTGCTTACGACTTTTCCCCATTTTCCAGAGTGAAATACTCAGAAATACAGAGATGGAGGCCAGCAGTACTGGAAGGCCAAGTGGGCGTGACTGCACGGCTCCAAAGCATCCAACCCTCCCACATTCGGGACCAACTGACAGACTCCCACCTGCGGTACCCAGGAGGCGTGGTATGCACCGCCATGCCAGCGCTGGGCCTCCTCTTCATTTCCAATGTGCTGCCACTTGTATAACCAGAAAAGGCAGCAGAAGCCCAGAAACAAGGACCTGGAGGTAACCTTGGGCCTCTCAGTAAAGACACACACACATCTCCCACCTGGTAGTGCCAGGGTTCGAGTTCCGCCTCTGGTTCGAGTCCTGCCTCAGCTTCCTGCTAGTGCGCACCATAGGGAACAACACAAATGACTCAAATAGTTAGGGTTCTGACTCTCCATAGGAGAAACCGGGTTTGGGTTCTGGGATACCAGCTCCGGCCTGGCCCAGTCTCGGCCGCTAAGGATCACTCAGGAAGGGAACCAAGGGATGAGTTCTCTCTCAATCTCTTGAATAAACACCTACAACAAACCCGGCGAACGTAGAACTCTTCTAAGCCCAACCTCATGAGAGTTCCCAGGGGGCCTCTCATAGCCGAAGTCGGAAGTGAACGTGGAATCCTGTTCAGTTCACGCGTGTCGGTTTCCGGGTTCCCAACTCCAAGCGGACAACTTGTGCTACCTGCCACCCACAAGGTGCGAATCCTCACTCACCGGCCTCAACCCTCTGAGGTAACAAAGCAGCACCGACATGGCGTCCCCAGCTAGCGGCTTTCCCGCGCACCGTCCTGCGCCTGCCGGCCGGTGGGTGGAGCCAAGGATGCCCCTCCCAGGGCGTGTCGCGGGGGCGGGGCCAGGAGTGGGTGACGCCCCACCCAGGGCCTGTCGGGGTGGGTGGAGCCAGGAGTGGGTGACACCCCATCACGCACTTATGGTCTGGTTAGCTCAGCAGATGGCTTCAGTTGTTTGTCACGTAGCTATGGCGGCGTGTTGCTCCCAAAGAAACTGGACCTGGCTAGATCTGAGCCGCCATCATTGACATGGGCGGATGAGGGGAGGGTACACTGTGTGGCCTCCACCTGGCCTAGATAGGTCAGCCATGATCGAGGTGGGCTGGGTGATGTAATACTTACTGGCCCAGGCTCTCAGGAATTGGGTTGAATTGCAGAGAAATTCCCGGCTTCAGCCAGGAAAACTAACCAAGAACAGTCTCACTGTGGCGAAACAATTCCCCTTGTCTTTGAGGTGGCTTCGTGAGTGCACCAGGAAAAATGGCTCTATGGTGTCTTGTCAAACCTGCAGTCAGAGATGGTCCGATCAAATATACAAGTCTAAAAGTGCTCCTGGCAAGCAGGTGCCTCAAAGTTGGGCAGCCATATTGGAAGTAGCTGAAAGCTCTGGGTCAGGACACCCATCCCCAGGAACTCTCACTTCTGCAGGGGAATCTGATCCAGCACTGCCGTGCAGCATCCCATAGGGGCGCTGGTTCGTGTCCCGGCTGCTCCACTTCCCTCCCAACTCCCCCCTTGTGGCCTGGGAAAGCAGTCAGGAATGTCCAAAGCCTTGGGACCCTTGGGACCCTACAGCCACCTGGGAGACCGGGAAGAGGCTCCTGGATTCGGATCAGCTCAGCTCTGGCCCTTGCAGCACTTAGGAAGTGATTCAGCAGATAGATGGAAGACCTCTCCTCTTTCCTCTTTGCAAACCTGCCTTTCTGGTTATATATATAAAGAATCTCAAGAACATTGGAAGTCCCGAGGTCCTTGTAACCAGGTGTTTGGTTTTGCTTATGTGAGCAGCTGTTGTGCTACAAGTAAAGTGGCAGATTTAGTCGAGTTACTGATATTCCTATGCCATTCAGAAACAGTTTATGAATGTGCGTGTGAAAGAAATAGTGGGGTTTTTGTTTGTTTGAAGGGTGGTATTACAGAAGAGAGAGATGTATTTTGGTATGGCCCGGGCCCTGGGAGTGGAAACTGCCCAACTGATTCAAGCTGTGCTTTCTTCCGTCGTGAACAGACAGCAAGCTGGGTGGTGGAGAGCGGACAGGAGGACCCGCGGGCAGACAGGAGGACCCGCGTGAGGACAGGAGGACCCGCGAGGACAGGAGGATCCGCGTGAGGACAGGAGGACCTGCAGACAGGAGGACCCGCGTGAGGACAGGAGGACCTGCAGACAGGAGGACCCGCGAGCGGACAGGAGGACCCGAGGGCGGACAGGAGGACCCGCGGGCGGACAGGAGGACCCGCGAGCGAACAGGAGGACCCGCGGGCAGACAGGAGGACCTGCAGACAGGAGGACCCGAGGGCGGACAGGAGGACCTGCAGACAGGAGGACCCGAGGGCGGACAGGAGGACCTACAGACAGGAGGACCTGCAGACAGGAGGACCAGAGGGCGGACAGGAGGACCCGTGAGGACAGGAGGACCCGAGGGCGGACAGGAGGACCCGCGTGAGGACAGGAGGACCCGAGGGCGGACAGGAGGACCCGCGAGCGGACAGGAGGACCCGCGGGCGAACAGGAGGACCCGCGGGCAGACAGGAGGACCTGCAGACAGGAGGACCCGAGGGCGGACAGGAGGACCTGCAGACAGGAGGACCAGAGGGCGGACAGGAGGACCCGTGAGGACAGGAGGACCCGAGGGCGGACAGGAGGACCCGCGTGAGGACAGGAGGACCTGCAGACAGGATGACCCGCGTGAAGACCAGCCACTCGGCTTCCCAAGCCCCAACCCACAGCTGCTGGCGGAAGCGGGCCGCCGGAGCCTGGCCGGCTGGTGCACGCGGAAGCGGAAGTCGAATACCCGGAAGGCTGTTCGAGGGCCGCCCAGCATGGCTGAAGCGGCTCCGGGCTTCCGAGCGCGGGCGGCGCGCACGGTGCTCAACCAGGTGGTGCTGCCGGGAGAGGAACTGCTGCTGCCGGAGCACGAGGACGCAGGAGGCGCGCAGGGGGCCGGGGAGCGGCCGCTGCGCCTGGACGCCGGCGTGAGCGCGCGCGCGCGTGTGGTGTGCGGCCCGGGGCTGCGGCGCTCCGGGGACCGCCTGCTGGTCACCAAGTGCGGCCGCCTCCGCCACAAGGAGCCCGGCGGCGGCGGCGGCGGCGGGGGCGCCTACTGGGTGGACTCGCAGCAGAAGCGGGTGAGCAGGGATCGCGGGGTCTTGGTGGGGAAGGCTGCCGGGGCTGGCAGTCCTGTGCCCGCTTCACCGGGTATGATGGGAATGTGCAACGGGATAATAGGCTTTTTTTTTTTTTGGAGGGGGTGAAATCTCTCTCTCAGGTCAGAACTTTCGTGGTAGGACAAATTGTCTAACGATGCAATGTCCGTTTTCCGTTCCAAGGATCCCGGGGCCCTGGGACCTCGATGCCTCAAAACCTAAGGGACTTAGTGCTAAATAGACTGGCACAAAGGAGTAGAAGCTGTAAACTTGAGAGTTTTATATTGTAATTCTCCCCCCCCCCCGCCCCAAACGTGACATAGGATGAAACATGTATTGGTTGTATGAACTCGTGAACTTGGATTCCAGAACATTTAAAAAATGAACTCCTTAATGACAAAGCCACCTGTTGGGAGATATCTTGGAAAGGTTTCCCGCCATGCTTAGCTTGTTCTGTTTTGTAGTATGTTCCAGTGAAAGGAGACCGTGTGATTGGCATCGTGATCGCGAAATCTGGAGATATATTCAAAGTGGACGTGGGAGGGAGTGAGCCGGCTTCCTTGTCTTACCTGGCATTCGAAGGTGCCACCAAGAGAAACAGGCCCAATGTGCAGGTGAGGAGGGGAGCACTGCGCTTCACAAGAAAGGCCCACTGCCATTTCTAGGACGGGTCGTGTCTGCAGGTGGCTGCATGACCTGCTCTCCCAGCTAGGCAGGGGTCTCACCAGGTATCTGTTCAGGCTCTCACAGTTCCTTCAGCTACGTCAGGATCACAGCCTCACACTTCACATTTGCCATGGGAGGTTCTTGGGGTGCTGCATCTCTGAGGTCAGAGATCTGTGATCTGCTTTGATACCGTGTGGGTCCATATCCAGGACCAAGGTCAGCAGTGCGGTCATTGTCAGCTGGCTGTCCCTCCGGTGGAGGAGTAATCTCCCCTAACTTTTACTCTTGGGCTTCTCAGGTCACGTGACCATGCTCTTCTCTCCGCCCAGACCATTTTGCTGCACCACCTCTCCCGTGTCTGTAGTCGCTTCAGCTTACTTTGATCCTGTTTTATCTTCTGCATGTCCATACCATTATCACCACTGTTCACGTTCAGGCCTGTACTCCCTCTTGACTGACTTTAGTGATCCCACTAACATCTTGTTGCCACATTTTTTTTCATTAAATTTGATTCTTCTTATTATTTTCCATCACAGAGCTTTGTAGGTATAGGGATTTCCCCCTTTCCCTTCCCTTTCTCCCTCCTTGTGACCCCTCCCATGGTTTTTGCCTATATTGTTTCAGTAGAATAAAGGCTGCCACACTTTCACCCCTGCATGAGGCTTTGGGAGCTGATATCTCCTTTCCTAGACCAAAAGGAAGATTCTTCAACGGCCACAGACTTCCTTGGCCTGACACTCTTCCCTCTGTACTCCTCCACTCGGCCATGCAGGAATCACGCCCAACTCTACTGCTCTCATCGGTTTCTCAGGTTGTTCCCTGGGTCAGGACCTGCATAGCTGTAGCCCCCTTTCCAGCCTGGGGACCACGTGCTCATCCCGAGAGACCTGGCTGATCAGGGCCATCTCTGAAACGCGCTGCTGCTTATCGCTTTCAGTAGCTTTGCTTTAGCTGAATCTGCCCTGGAATGGGATTGGTACATTACCAGCGGCTCTCCAACCAAATGCGTCCAGAGCGTCTTGTGTTCCTCACTAGGAACATGGTCACAGACAGAAAGTAAATATTCAAGAAGTGTTTCCTTGAGTGGACAAGTGCTCTGTTTCCTCAGGTTTGTCACTCTGAAGTTTGGTCCCATGAGACTTTTACTACTGAATGGAGAAGTGTCTTTGTTAATGATCAGTGTTCCATTTTGCTTTGGATAGTCTGCAAATCAGCAGTTCCTTCCTCTCCATAAATCTGCTTCTCTAGAGTAAATCTCTATGAGGCATTGTTTTATATCTGCATGGAAGCCACTTGCTACAGGTGCTTACTGGGGTCTTGAAACATGGCTAATGAGCTGAGGAGCTGAATTTGAATATGCAATTTTAAAAAAGAATATATCTATTGTATTCTATTTAAAAGGCAGAGTGACAAAGACATATTTCATTTGCTGGTTCATTCTCTAAATGGCCATAGGAATCGGGGCTCTGCTGGGCAGGCTGATAACAAGAGCAGAGAACTCCTGGGTCTCCATGTGGATGCTTGGGACCAAGTGTTGGGGTCTTCTGCTGCTGCTTCCCCAGGTGCATTAGCAGGGAACTGGGTTGGAAGCAGAGCAGCCAAGACTCAAAACCAGTATGGCATGTCAACATTGCAAGCACTGGCTTAACCTACTGTGCTACCATGTCAGCCCGTAAATGTCTGATTTTAACTAATTGAAATGTGAGTTTAAGTAATTGCAGATGGGTAGTGGTTACCGTATTGGACAATGCAACTCCAGTGCATTTCACTCGAGAAGGCTCCTAGTTTTGGGGTTTCCTAGTGGGGGCAGAGAGAGGGTACATGTGTTCATTTTGCTCTCCTTCAAGACTCGATTGCAAAGTGACCGTGGACATCCTAGAATGTCAGCCCCTTAGCCACAGGACCCTAGATAGCACTAAGGAGAACCAACAGCAGAATCACTAGAATGGTGTGTGGAGAGGAAACTAGCTGGCTTTTAAATTCCCGTTATAGGTTGGAGATCTCATCTATGGCCAGTTTGTGGTTGCTAACAAAGACATGGAACCAGAGATGGTCTGCATTGACAGCTGTGGACGAGCCAACGGAATGGGTGTGATTGGACAAGACGGCTTGCTTTTTAAAGTGACTTTGGGCTTAATTAGGAAGTAAGTGACTCGCCTGTCTTCTAATAACTAAACTTTCTTGAAAAGCTAATCTGGAATTAGCTTCTTGGTAAATGAATTTCTCCTGGAACTTAACACCCAAGTTGCACATTTATAATATCATGAGTTTAGTTCTGTCCCTTTGCAATGTGAACATATCAGATTCATTCCTATCAGGCTGTGTAGTTTCTGGTATTAGGGTAGTGTTGGGGCTAACACTTTATGCTTCAAGCTCTTACTCTACCTTGTTCAAATCTCTCACAGAAGGCTTGCTGGGCTTACAGGGGAAAAAAAATCAAGTGTTCTTTCAGCACCATAGGTAATAAAGAATGATTGTAAAGTCCAGAATTCAGGCACTGTGGGGCAGGCACTTGATACACTGGGCAAGTCGCTGCTTGGTTCACATTTCAGCTCTGCTTCTGACGCAGTTTGCAACTAATGCACCCCTAGGAGGCACAGGTGATAGAAAAAGTGCCTGTATGCTCGCCACTTCACTACGAATCTGGATGGAGTTTTGAGCTCCTGGTTTTGGTGTGGTCTAGCTGTTACAGGCAATTGGGGAATAAATCACCAAGTGGACAATTTCTATTCTCTAATAAAATTAAAATTAAGAATTGAGGTATTCTGCTAATGTGGGGAAGAACAGATGGTGACAAAGGAGTTTGATTTTCTTGTAAGGGACAACTCACCCATCATGCCTAAAGTGTCAACCTTCTTGAAGAAACGGGGTGGGAAATGTGCATTGTTGGGTTGGAGTTGGTGGGATTTTGAATCGCTATGGAGAACGGCCCAGGAAAGGAGCCCCCTTCTAAAGGCATGTCAGGACACACACACCGCACCGCTTTGTTAAGGTTCCTTTTCTTTCATCTTCCCCAACAGACTGTTAGCTCCAGGCTCCGAGATCATACAGGAAGTGGGAAAACTCTATCCACTGGAGATTGTATTTGGAATGAATGGAAGAATATGGGTGAAGGCGAAGACCATTCAGCAGACGTTAATTTTAGCAAACATTTTAGAAACTTGTGAACATATGACGACAAGTCAAAGAAAACAGATCTTCTCCAGACTGGCAGAAAGCTGACCTGTGTGAACTTTTTAAATGGGTCGGTTGAGCCAAGAGACTGGGTTTCCTGGGAGAAACTTTTTTCAGGTAAATCTCTCCCTGTTAAACCTTCAGAAGACAAGATGTAAATGTATACTATCTTAGTAAAGTCCTACATATTTTTGTAAGAAAGATACTGGTTTTCTCCCATTATCTGTGAGAAAATAACTGTAAATTATAACTTTTTTTGTTCTGTACAATCAAGTTTATTAAACGTTATTACAGTTTACTATAGTTTAATTCCTTTAGTTTTACTAGACTGCAGCTTCAGTGGGGAGTTTGAACTTGGCATAAAAATGGTCACTTTCTGATGCTAGTAATAAAGCATGTGAGACAAAACAAGCCGGTGAAGCCACACCGAGCTCCAGCGATCAGCACGAGCCAGCAAGTCTCATGTGTCAGCCAGTCATTTCTGCATGGACTAACTCCTTTATCCCTCACAGTTGAAGGTACTGAGACACAAGGTTTAAACTGACTTACATTCCCAACCACAATGTGTTCTTCAAACTGAATTACAGGATATTTATATTCTATTTTGTAATATACTTTGTCAGGTTCAGATACCATAAATTTATCACAACTGCTAATAAAATGTCACTAGTTGTATTTCACTTTTGTATTATAGGATGTTTGGTGTTGTGCAATTAATACCACTCAAATTTGTCCCAGTCTTACTTTGCAAGTCATTTTCTAGAAAAATAAAGAGCTACCTGTTCTAGGCTTTGGATGAGTCGGGGAGGTTCATGGTAAGAGTGAGAAAGGACATGATCTCGTTATACACCACTACAAGCAGACAATAGTTTGGTGGTTCTGGGGTCACAGACCTCTCTAGTCCCTTTTGGATGAAAGAGATTAATATGTTGATAAAGACATTTCCTGAGGACTGGTCTGTTTTGAAACAATAAAAACAGTGATTTTTCCAAGTGATCATGGCTCCGCAAGAATTGCACTGTGTGAGGATAACAGAGAAAGAACCTCTTGGTTCTTTTTGTGTTCGTTAGTAGTTTAGCAAGTTTATTTATTATAGTTAGTAGTTTAGCAAGTTAACTAATCCAAACAGCAAGAGTAACTAAAACAATAAACAATAAAATACAGGGAAGAAATATGAAATTTGTGTAAGAGGAGGTAAGCTAATTTCCCTAATATATCAGGTCACAATGCAACACATTCTCTATTTTCAGGACTTTGCGCAATACTTTTTGTTCTTATTTTGATAATTATGATTATACAGTAGTCCCTTCATCTGGGGACCTAGTCTGAGATTCCCAATGGACATCTGACACCACAGACAGCAAATAAAGAAAGGATAGTAAGAGGTTAACAGCAATAATAAAATGGAATGTTTGCTATAATCAAGTGACTAAAACCTGAATTACTTATTTTTGGAATTTATCTATTACATTGACCACACATGGCTGTGGATAAGGAGAGACCACTGTAGAACTTAGTTTGCAGAAGGCTGAAAGGGATAGGAGAATATTCATACAACTCACCCTGTGGAATCCCATCATTAGGAAGAGAGAAGCTCTCCTTACCCCTATCAGCATGAGGGAGAACAGAGCCAGCGCCCCAGGAGGGAGCGAAGGAGAGCAGGTCAGCACAGGCTGAGTCCTACAGAGCTGTGTGCACATGACTGAATCAGCAGACAAATCTGCATGATCATATGAAGCTGGAGAAAATCAAATTTTATGATGCCAGTTTAATGAAAATTCAATAAAAAAAAAAACCTATTTATTTACTTATGTATTGGAAAGTCAGATTTACAAGGAGAAAAGGAGATAGAAGGCTCTTGCATCCGCTGGCTGACACCCCAAGCAGCTGCAATGGCTGGAGCTGAGCCAGTCCGGAGCCAGGAGCCACCTCCAGGTCTCCTCATGGACACAGGGTCCTAACGCCACGGCTGCCCTCGACTGCTTTCCCAGGCCACAAGTGGGGAAATGGATGGGAAGTGGAGCAGCTGGTACAGGACCCAACCCTCAATGGGATCCTGGCGTGTGCAAGGCAAGGACTTTAGCCACTTGGCTTCTGTGCCAGGCCCCAAAAATCCAATTCTTGATGCAACAATATTTACATCTTTACATCTTTGACAAACAGACTAACACAGAGCTATGTAGTTTTAGGGTTAATTACTGGTTCTGTAAACTTTTTACTTAACATGTATCTGGGCACTTTTGGTGAGGCACTATAGAAGATAAAAAAGAGCACAAAAAATGAGGTTCTTGTCACTAGTTGATTCCATCCCATGACTGAGACGATCCAAGATAGTGTGGAAAGGTAAGTGTGTGCAAGTCCACCCTGCGCCCTGCTCTTTGGTAAAGCCGCCAGCAGCAGCTGCCTGGGCCGCCCATCACTCCAAAGCACTGCGCACCACGAAGCCTTTCCCTGAGGACACGCCTTTCTTCAGGGCTTCAGGCCAGCTGTGAGTCTCAAAGTAAGTGGCCAGGACATCAAACACTGTTACAAGAAAACAGAAAACAGTAACCACACAGGAAAAAGAACTAGGAACTGGCTGATGAGGAAATCAATGTTCTCAAATATTTCATTCAATGAGCTGCGGCGCCCACCACACACAGTGGTTGGTCTGGAGGGGATGGAAGAAAAGCTAATGGCTTGCTCAAGGACCTCAGACCAAAGTCGAATGGATATTGCTGCAATCCAGAAAAAACAGTAAAACGGGCTCAGACAGGGGCCCAGACATGGCTGGGAAGCGGAGGGAAGCCAGCTACGTGGCTTCTAACCCAAATTCTGAACAAAACAAGAATTCATTGGTCCAGAGGTTGAAAGCTGGACATTCTGGGCCAAGTGGACAATCTGAACTATCTTCAACATTACCGGACCAGGAAGAAAATGAAGAATGCCATTCTAAAGTCCAGCACAAATGCCACAAAGTACATGCACTGACGTTCAAGCACACTGGTCACTGGAGGAAATTAAAGGGCTGAAGTAACGCCCAATGGGTGTGGGCCATGGGACAAGTGGTACCTTGGTTGATGGCCAGGACCTCTGAATGATAGTTTTTCTCATTCTGGCATCGGACCATGTATTCCTGGATTGGCAAACGGGCCGTCCTAACAGAGTGCTCCCGAGCCTTCTGAAGTGTCACTTTCTGTAATCACAGTTATATATTTATATTTAATCATAAATGACATGCAGATATATTCTAATATACTCACAAATTGTTGAGAATTCTATTTACCACTATAAGTTCCATCGGTAATCATAATTAAAGGGTAAACATTTAAAATAAATAACTTACAGCAGAACAGGAAACAGCAAATACTGAAGAGTATGTGTCCCAAGGAAGAAAATGCTTATGTGGCAATTTTTTGGGGGGAGGGGGTGTGGGAGGCATTTATCCAAAAGCCTCCACTTAGTGCCACTTATAATAAGGAAATCAGCAGATACATCTGCAGTCACATTTGATATCAAAAAGCCTAAAAAGAATCTTGCCTGTAACTCAGTTCTGCCATGTCTGGAGTTTTCAGCGAATTACAGGCAGCAAATTTACATAGAAGGGGATGAGAAGTAGACATGTGGTTTAGTGCTAGTTTGTTTTTAAGATTTATTTGAAAGGCAGAGTGAAAGTGAGGAAGTGCTGGTTCATTTCTCATGGCCACAACAGCCAGGGCTATGCCAGGCCAAAATTGGGAGCCAGGAACTCCCACCTGGTCTGCCACATGGGTCGTAGGGACCCAACTATCTGAGCCATTTTCCGCTCCTTTCCCAGGCACATAAGCAGGGAGCTGGATAGAAAGCAGAGCAGGCAGGACTTTAACCAGCACTCATATGAGATGCCGGGTCCCAAGTGCTGGTGTAGACTCCCCCAAATCCATTACTATTTCTCACAGGAACTACTTTCTACCTTTTTAAAAACTAAAAAATATATAGTCTACATATGAATTATGTATACAATATGAAAGACATCCATGTGCCTGGTACAATGGCTCAATGGCTAAACCTTCACCTTGAAAGTGCTGGGATCCCATATGGGTGCCGGTTCATGTCCTGGCTGCTCTACTCCTCATCCAGTTCCCTGCTTAAGGCCTGGGAAAGCAATAGAGGATGGTCCAAAGCCTTGGGATCCTGACCCATGTGGGATACCTGAATAAGTTCCTGATTCCTGATTTTAGACATCTATGTAAAGCATACATATACAACATATAGACTATATTAAGTAGGACACACAGGAAAACGTAAGAGCGGTTGTCTTGGGAGAGACAGAGGCAGGAGGGAAGGCTCATTTCTCTACTCCTGACTGTGCATTTTAAGATACTATTTAACTTACACTTATCTTTGCAATGAATATTAGTAAACAATAAACAAAGGAAATTACCTCAGCAATTGTTTTTACAATAGAAACATTTCAAAGGCTGAGTAATGCTTCAATTATTTCAATAAAATTCTCATTCAAGGAAAGACATCTGGGCAATGTCACTGTCATCTGGACAATCTCATGGGGTAAGATTCATGTCAGCATTGTGGGCAGAGGCTTAACTCTGACACCAGCAGCCCATATGAGCACCAATTAAAAGCTCAGCTGCTCTAAAAACAGCAAGGGATGGCGTGGTGTTTAGGCCCCCTGTCCTTGTGGGGAGATTCAGATGGAATTCTAGATTTTCGGCTTAGCCTGGCCCACACCAGCCTCAACCCCAGCCAGCCCCAGGTTCAGCTATTACTGCCACTTGGGGAGTGAACCAGTGGATTAAAGGTATTTCTCTCTTTCTCCCCCTCTCTTTGTAACTCTACCTTTCACATAAATGAATAAACCTTACCAAGAATAAAAAAGGCTCCTATTAGGAGGGAGGATGGTTTGGGAAGGAGCAAGCTACCCTCTCACAAAGGGCAACCTGCTGGTTCAGCATGCTGAGCCAATCAATGCTAACTTAGACGTGATCAGGGTCACCCCTACAAAATGGAAGATAAGAAAAAACCTCAACAACATCACTGCAGTTCCTGACTGTTGATTCTGTCAGGCCAATGAGAAGAGAGGCTACTTCCCAGCCTGGGCGGTGAGGCTCGTGTGCCGGCCCTTCTGGTAAGACCATGACAGGGCAAGGATCTCTAACAGCAAACAGTGCTCTTCCAAAGGCACAGGTTGAGGTCAATGCAAATACTTACCTTCTGCACGCTTTCATCCACAAGTCCCCCAAGGACGTAAACTTTGTTGAGATCAACATCTTCAAGAGCTAAGGAAGAAATAGAGGTCACTGAATCAGATCAAATTCAAAGAAAGCGAAAGGAAATAATTAACAGTAGAAATATAAATTTAATGAACAGGAAAGAAAAATCTAATCACTTGCTCAATAAATTGAAAGCACTAATAAATCAAACAGTGGGAATCTTTTAATTAAGAAACAGGTGTTCGATCCAAATCAACATTAGGTTTCGAAAGGAAGCAAAATCAAAAGAAAATAATTTGAAGAGAATACTATGAATAGCTCTATACCAATAAATTCTAAAGTTCTATGAGATGGATGGTTTTCTAAGGCAAGCAGTATCCTGGCATTGATCCAGGGAGGCACAATGGGGGTGGCTGAGCAGGGACCCTGGAAGAACAGCCAGGCAGCACACAAAGTCTAGTGAGGGTGGAAGCCCTGCATTTGTGTTGCTGTGTGCGTGGGGCTGAACACAGGCAGAATATCCAGTGAGGGATCTGCCCCTCAGAGGCGAGCAGTTCTTGCTGAACCCTCGAGTGGTGCCCTGGGGAATACCGTAACAGAGGGCTGGGCACCATGGATGACCTGAGTCCATGCAGTGAGGTACATACCATGTTCAGAGTCTGGAGTCAGGTAGACAAGTGTTTCCAGAGGAAAGACGCTAAAGCAGTCATCTTCCGTTATGTCTAGCTGAAAAATGCAAAGGATCCAAGCGGGAAGTTGGTTAAAAGCCCATATTTAATAACAAGTTATTGGGCCATAGTTTCTTCTCAGGCACGGTTCTAGGTGCATTAAGGAGCTGCCTATCCAGGGCCTGGTGGCGTGGCCTAGTGGCCAAGGTCTTCGCCTTGAACATGCCAGGATCCCATATGGGTGCCGGTTCTAATCCCAGCAGCTCCACTTCCCATCCAGCTCCCTGCTTGTGGCCTGGGAAAGCAGTCAAGCACGGCCCAATGCCTTGGGATCCTGTACCTGTGTGGGAGACCTGGAGGAAGTTCCTGGCTCCTGGCTTCGGTTTGGCACAACACCGGCTGTTGCACTCACTTAGGGAGTGAATCAGTGGACGGAAGATCTTCCTCTCTGTCTCTCCTCCTCTTAGTACATCTGACTTTGTAATAAAAATAAAATAAATCTTTAAAAATTAGTTGGATCAAGCAGGGGAAATAAAAAGGCACAAAACATTTAAACTAGGAAGTGAGATGGAACTCAGGCAGGGACAGGGAACTTCCGGAGTGACCCCAGGCATGACCAGTGGGGGAAAAAGGCTGCAGCTGAGTTTGTGAGAGGAGGCAAGATGGACACATACAAAAAGGAAAAAATCAAAGCCGAGAAGCAAGGTAGAAAATCAGTAAAACAGCACAGCAATGTCATGACCTGTGGATTTGTCTGTGCAGTAGGTAAGATGTCACTTGAGACGCTAGCATCTCATGACGATGCCTGGGTTCCAGTCCCAGATCCACTCCTAATCCAGCTTCCTACTAATGCCCGTTTTGGGAGACTGCGGGTGACGGCTCAAATACTTGGGTCCCCACAATTCATGTGGGAGATGTGCAAGGAGATTCTGGCTCCTGGTGTTAGCCTGGCCAAGTTCTAGCTGTTGCAAGCATTTGGGGGAGCGAATTAGAAGATGACAGATAGGGCCTGGCACCGTGACCTAGTGCCTAAAGTCCTTGCCTTGAACACATCAGGATCCCATATGGGCACTGGTTCTAATCCTGGCAGCTCCACTTCCCATCCAGTTCCCTGCTTGTGGCCTGGGAAAGCAGTCAAGGACAACCCAAAGTCTTAGGACTCTGCACCCGTGTGGGAGACCTGGAAGAAGTTCCTGGCTCCTGGCTTCGGATTGGCATAGCACTGACCATTGTGCTCACTTGGGGAGTGAATCATTGGATGGAAGATCTTCCTCTCTGTCTCTCCTCCTCTCTATATAACTGACTTTCCAATAAAAATTAAAAAAAAAAATAAATCTTAAACAAACAAACAAACAAACAAAAAAGATGACAGATAGGGTCCAGAGCCATGGCTTGACTGGCTAATCTTCCCCTCATCCCATATGGGATCCCATATGGGCAGTGGTTCATATCCCAGATGCTCTACTTCCCATCCAGCCCCTTGTTTAAGGCCTGGGAAAGCAGTGAAGGATAGCCCAAAGCCTTGGGACCCTGCACCCGTGTGGGAGATCCAGGAGAAGCTACCGGTTCCTAACTTCAGATTGGCTGAGCTCTGGCCATTGCAGCCACTTGGGGAGAGAACCAGCAGATGGAAGATCTATGTCTTTGTCTCTCCTCCATTAATTTGCCTTTTCAATTAAAAAAAATTTTTTTTAATGACAGATCTCTGTTTAGAAAAAAATAAGCACAAAGAAGTAAAGGTAGAATGCTACTTCAGCAGATATTGTTCAGACAGCAGCATCAACACAGCTAGTTATGCAGCACCACAAAGTATACCCTTCCTGCCTTTCACCTCTGTGGGCCTCCTGAGGGAAGGGGCAACCAATGCTTAGCCTGAGCTACACACAGCCAACACATAAGGGTATTCTAGCGACAGAGTGATTTGTATTCTCACATGTTTATCATTCTACTCCTGAGATCCTTGGAAAAAATCTTAGCACTTGCTAAAACTCACTTTAAATTCGCAGTAATTTCTGCTTCTAATTTTTTTTTTTTTTTGAGAAGTAGAGTGTGACAGCAAGAGCAAAAGTGAGAATGACAGAGAACAAGAGAGAGAATATGGGTGTGTGCTCCTATCTTCTGGTTTATTCCCTAAATTCTTGAAACAACTAGGCATGGGCCTAGCCAAAGCCAGGCACCAGACTCGGTGTAGGTCTCCCACACGGGTGACAGGGCCCCAGGAACTGCAGACATCACCTCCTGCCAGGAGGCACATCAGCAGGGATAAGCTGGGAATGGTAGCAAGGCTGACCCGAACTCAGTTACTCTGATACGGAACCAAGGCATTCCAAGCAGTAGCTTAACTGCCACACCTGTCCCTAAATTCACATTACTTCCTAAAGCATCCTTTCCTACCTCCATCACAGAACAAGAAAGGAGTCATGGAACTTCCCAGAAATACTACTGGAGTATATATATAGCATACAATATACAGGATACAAAACACAGTCCTGGATCCTGGAAATATCAGGTTGCCAATTTAGTTGAAGGATGAGACATTTGTTTGAATGTAGAACTAATGAGAAGATCTGAAGTTGTTACATTTCAATATTGAAAACACACCATTCTTACAGAGAAACACACAACATTACAGTGGTCTGTCAGTACCTACAGAGGATTGGATGCAAGGACTCCCAGTGACACCCAAACACAGTGAGAGCAAATACAAAGTCCCTTACATAAAATAAAATGTTATCAGATCTGCAGACAACCTATACACATACTCTAGCATACATTTCAAGTCTCAATACAATGTGAATTTTATGTAAATAATTTTCACAGTGTATTGTTTAGGGAACAATGACAAAAAAAATACACATGCATTTTTTTCAGTACAGATACAATTGTTTTCTTGAATCTTTTCAATCCATGGTTTGGGTGAACCTACAACACAAAACCTATGAATTCATTGGGGCTGAGTTTACATCAAAATATGAAAAAGTGAAAAGAAAAATTACCATTACAACACAATCTTCAGACACTCGTGGTTAAAGTAATATGCAGTAGGACATACCAGGTAACCAGAAAATCCATCATTCATCCTCAAACACTCTTCATACAGGGGACTGTCTGTTGCGAAGCCAGTGAGGCAGATCCAGAACGGCCTGGCAGTCTTCTTGTTTGACCCGTACAACCTGCGGATCTGTCCAGCCAGCCTACTCAATTCCTTCAAAGAAACAAGGACAACAGGAGGTGGGACAGGCCAACTCTCTAAGTTCATCAATAAATACCTGCACAGCAAGTCTGCCGAATCGTGCTCTAGAAAATGTCATGAACTCGACTGGCCTCTTTTACTCTGTAAGTGGGCACATCTATGTGTGAGTGTGTGAAAGCCTAGGAGGTCACACCTTATGGATGAAAGTTTAGGTAAAAATACTAGCCAAGAAACAGTGAGTCAGTGAAAAAACAGAATTCTTTTCCCTGCTAGCCCTGCTGTGACATATTTAATATACAGATGAGATTACTTTAGCTTTCATCTGAAATTGTACCATGCGATAGTTACTACTTGTGTCATTCAAAAGAAACTAGGTAACTAGAAATTCTTACACTCCCCTCCAAATATTTAGTCCCATTCTCCCTGTCTGCAACAGATACCACAGGGGTTGGAAGTTTTAACTTTACACCCTGATTCAGAGTCATCCTTCTTATAGAAAGGCAGCTTCACAAGTCAGCCTGATTTACTCAACAAAGACCAGAGGATGCTTCTGGGAACAAGCACTTGGCCTAGCAGTGAAGACGCAATGGGACGCCTGTACTGCTATGGGATTGAATGCACTGCTTTGTTCTTACTTCCGGCTCTGTGCTGATGTACATCCTAGGAGACAGCCGGGTGATGATTTTAGCAGTTGGGTTCCTGCCATTCATGTGAGAAACCTGGACTGAGTCCCTCGCTCCCAGTTGTGGCATGACACAGCCTAAACCATGGCAGGCATTTGAGGGGGATGGAGTTCTTTTTGAATCCAGACTTGATTTAATGTGATACCTCAGTTATATCACAAACATGGAGATTTTTGGTTCACCTTTTTGGATATCTAATTACTGATTTCATGCTAAGAACCTGTAGCTTTCCTATATTCTCTGAAAAATAAACACTGGTGTGGCATTTGGTACAGATCTCAGATGACATGGGGATGTCTACACCCCCTCTGGGAGTGCCTGGATTTGAATCTGGGGTGTTTCCAATTTGTTTCCTGCTAATGCACTCCTGAGGAGGCAGCAGTTGATAGCTCCAGTATTCAGGTCCCTTCCACCCATGTGGGAGACCCAGTGAGTTCCAAGCTTCTGGCTTCAGCATGGCCCAGAACTAGCCATTGTGGACATTTGGGGAGTGAACTAGCAGATGGAAGATCTCTTTCTGTCTCTATGTCTTTGCCTTTCAAACAAAAATATAATAAAAAAAAATCGTTATTAAAATTAGGAAAAAAAATGATTTCCCACAACATGCCACCCTACAGATATTCCTTTTCCCAGGAGAAGGCCAAAGATTCGGAGCCTTAGAGACCTGATTCTGAAAAGCTCCATTCAGACTGGGGACACCATGAACAGAATGGCCAAGGTCGCAAAGCAGACAAAACCACAGGATGTCCACCCTCTTTCCATCTTCCTCATTTCAGCCATCCTGGAATTCAGCAGCCCAATGCAGTAAGCCCAACACTGGATCACGGAAGCTGAAGCTGGTCATATTCTTTATGACAACTGCACCTTCTGGGCCGCCCTCAAGTGAGTGGGAATTCCGGGCTTAGTGAATGCTCTACCTTCTTTGACATGTGGTGGGTCATACTCAAATCAATACACAGTCTTGGTCCTGAGCGTTTGGCTTCCAAAAGCTTCTCTTTGGTTAAGGCTCTCAGAAAACGTTTGCTGTGCTGGGGGCAGATGCCTAGAGCAAAAATACCAGGAAGGGAGAAAAGTGGGAAAACAGGAATGATCTTCCATAAGAAACAAATCTCTCTGGCCAGATGAATAGTGGCGGTGTATATAAAGAAACCTGAGGCTCACATAGGATATTTTTTCACTAGATTCATGCATGACAGAGTAGTAAGGAGTGTAGACTCTGGTGCACACAGATGGGTTAAAATGCAAGTTCACTTTATTCACTTATTACCTGAATTACCTGGGACATATTACTTAATTTCTCTGAGCCTTGCCAGTACCAATCTCTTAAGATAATCTACATATATTCTTAGAACTACACTTTGCACTCAGCTGTGAATCAAGACTAGAGGTTTTGGTATTGTTCCTTCTTCTTCCACACTTATAACTAGACAGTCTACATTTGAAAAGCAGCCTTGGGGTGGACACTGTGGCACAGCACACTAAGCTGCTGCCGAGCATACCTACATCCCCTATTAGAATGCTGGTTCAGGCCCGGCGCGGTGGTGCAGTGGTTAATGCTCCTCTCCTTGCACGCCCGGAATCCCATATGGGCGCCGGTTCTAATCCCAGCAGATCTGCTTCCCATCCAGCTCCCTGCCTGTGGCCCGGGAAAGCAGTCGAGGATGGCCCAAGGCTTTGGGACCCTGCACCCGTGTGGGAGACCCGGAACAGGCTCCTGGATCGGCATAGCATCGGCTGTTGCACTCACTTAGGGAGTGAATCATCGGACGGAAGATCTTCCTCTCTGTCTCTCCTCTCTGTATATCCGCCTTTCCAATAAAAATAAAATAAATCTTTAAAAAAAAAATGCTGGTTCATGTCTCTGCTTCAACCCAACTTCCTGCCAGTGTATCTTGGGAGGCAGTAGTTGATAGTTCCAAGTGCTTATGCACCTGATATCTACCTCAGAGACCCAGCTGGAGTTCAGGGCCCCTCTGGCTACAGCCTGGTCCAGCACCACTGTTTAAGGGCATCTGGGGAGTGGACTAGCAAATGGAAGCTCTGTCTGGCTTGCTTTTGCTGTCTCTTGCTCTGCCTTTCAAGTAGATGAAAACCAATACTTTATATATATAAATACATAAACATTTTGAAAGAATTTATTTGAAAGGCAGAGTGATCAGAGAGGAAGGAAGAGATACAAAGATTTTTTTTGTCCACTGCTGCACTCCTCAAATATTCCAATCAGGGCTGGTCAGGCTGGAGCAAGGAGCCAGGAACTTCATCTGAGTCTCCCATGTGTGTGGGTGGCAGGAACTCAAATATTTAGTCCATCACCCTCTGCCTCTCAGGAGCAGCAGCACCAGGCTGGATCAGAAGCCAAAAAGCTAAGACTCAAACCGACACTGACATGGGATGCCACATCCCAACGGCAGGTTATCTGGCCGTGCCACCACACTTGTATCTGCTTTGATACTCTGAATGCGACAGAGCAGGACGATGAGCCCCATCTTATAGGTGTTTGTCTACCAGAAATCGCTACTCTCGTGAGAATATGCAGACAGCAGTTTGTTAATCAACAAATGTGATTCCATGAGCAATCTCATTACCTGGATTTTCTGCACGATTGGCTTTTCTTCTTTCTTTTTCTTGTTTCCTTTTACTCTTCTTGGCTGCAACTATTCTTTCCCAATGTCTCTGTTTCCTCTGGACATTTTTCTTATGTGATCCAGAAAACAAAATTGTTTGAGAACTTCATAAGCACCAAAAAGGAAAATGAATATTAGAATAAGTTACTTATTTTTTTTCACTTACATGCAAAGTTAGGAACAAAAAAGGATATCAGTAGTAAAAATGAATCCAAACCAAACTGTATTTAGAGAAAACACAGCCCTAGAAAGAGAGGTGACTCAGCTATGGCTACAGTAAACGCCACAAGGACAGAACCAACGTAGAGTTAAGATCCCTGATGCTTCTTTGGCATATCAGAAGTCTCCATGGAACTTCACTTACTTTTCCTATGATTCAAATGCACCTGAAACTTTAAAACCAACCAGCAGGAAATTACTTCATCACTTAGAATACACAAGACTAACTCCTGGTATTCACTACCAGCATCCACTCCCTTACACCAGGGCGTTCTGTGACATCCCATCATTCAAAGCCCCTCGCTACACTCACCGAGCACCATGACGCACTGCCCATGGGTGGAGTCTCTTCCCCCTGGCGCTCACATCCCACGTCAATCTGCAGAAGCCGGAAGCTTTCAGAGACCCCATCTTCATCTGTGCCCTCCAGGATGCCTTCCTGCTCCCGCAGAACAGCTGGCTGTGTTTCCTGGGCACTCCTTTCCAACTTCCACTCCATGTACTTAGTCCTTGGTCCTCTAGAAAAAGGTGCAATAATTTGTGAGATATTTTCTGACTACGTTTATACAGCACTTCGCTACACTCAGAGGAGCAATGCTGTGAAAAACACTGAGCCACACAGAAAAGACTTACAAGCTTATCATGTACTCTCTATACAAGTCCTATTCCAGATGTATGTTGTCAGACTATTTTCTCATCACTTGTAGCTTGTGCACCCATTTTCTTGTCTTTTTGAATATTTACTTATTTTTCATTGGAAAGGCAAATTTACAGAGAGAAGGAGAGACAGATCTTCCAGTCACTGGTTCACTCCCCAAGTTGGCCACAGGGGCTGGAGCTGAGCCACTCCAAAGCCAGGACCTTCTTCTGAGTTTCCCACCTGGCTGCAGGGTCTCAAGTCTTTAGGCCATCCTCTACTGCTTTCCCAGGCCACAAGTAGTGCATCTTCTGGGACATAAACTGATGCCTATATGGAATGCTGGTACTACAGTCACAGACTTAATCTGATATATCGCATCACCAGCCGCAGAACTTTGTACTTTTATTTGTGTTTGACCATTAATTTAATCCATAAACACTCATGTCTTTCTCTGTGATGGGCCTTGTGGGGGAGTGACTAGGCAGTACCACCTGTGGCTGTCTTCAGAGAAGTCACAGAAGCCAGAGCCAGGAAAGGAGTAGCTTGAGGGGCCATAGAGAGACAAAAGATGTTGTCTTTAAAATTGGAAAGCTGTCGTTTATAACCTCTCTCCCCGCAAACAAGAGGGGCTATGCCTGCACTGACCTACATACTGAGCAGCGTAGAACCCGCCAACAGCAGTGTTGCTTGGTTACTGACCTGAATTTTAGCCTCACCGCTCCCCTTCCCCTTTCTGTTCCCTTCCCAGAACCAAACCCTCCTGAAACTCGTATACTCTTGGAGGATGATTTTTAGACCAGGAACTGGGGAGCTGGGAGGATGCAGCAGTCTTTAAAATCAAATAAAGACAACCCCAACCACTATCAGAAGGGTGTGTAAAACAGCCCACTGGAGCTCCCTAAAGGCGTGGACCATCTCTTCTTCACCTTCATATATCGGCATTAGGCTGACACAGAATGGGAGCTCAGAAAACAAACAAACAAACGCTGCACAGGAGCTGGCCACCCAGGAAGCCTTTAAAGAAAGCCCAGGGGAAGTTGGGCATCCCAGAAGGTGGACCTGCTGAACTAATGGGGAACACTCCCCACGCCCAGGTTTAGCACGTCTTTACTCAAAATCCTTTTGTGAGCCTGCACACCAGGTCCAGGGCTGAGAAGTGGAGCTAACACAGGGATGATCCTGTCACTCACACCGTCTTCATGAGCCCAACATAACACCACCTGCTGAGGGGTCGGAGGGGCGGGGAGCGGTGCCCGTTCACTGGCCTCTTTCCCCCGCTGGACCACCAGCCCCTGTAGCAAGGAGAGGACGAAGAGTTTACCTGCAACCTCCCAGTACTCCTGGCCTCACAGGATGAAAACTTTTCAGGTGTTTGACAGTCTTAGAATCAAGCTCTGACATTATGTGGTCTCCTTTGTGTCTGAACCTCCCCACGCCCACGATGGACGCGGCCAGATGCTCCGTCCACACCGCGCCACCTGGGTTAATCCACCCTCCACACACACACCGAGCTCACACGGGCCTGGACCGTCCCTCAGTCCATTCCCACCCGAAGGGGACCTACTCCACACCTAGCGATGAAGCAGCCAGTCAGCCTGCGCCTCTTTCTCCGCTCCAAACTGCAGCTCACTGCAGTCCTCCAGCACCTGCAGCTCGGAAACACCCTTCTCCCGCCTTCCCGAACGCTCGGCTTCCCGCCCGGGACTGCAATCCGAAGAGAAGCACCGAGACACGCCGCTTCTTCAGCTGGTGCCCGACGCCGCGCCCGCACACCCGTCACCAAACCCCGGCACGATCCAGTTTAACGGAACTACCTGACGCCGTCACCTCACGCTGCAACCGGACAGCAAGGGAGGAGCAGCCTCGTCCCGCCCCGCACAACTTCCGGTTCCTGACGTCCGCATTGCATCCTGGGAATTGTAGTTTTCCAATAGTCAGTTCTGTGGGCAAGGAACAAAGCGGTTTCAGTTTCTACTCTTCTGGAGCGAAGTATTCCTGCGATTCCCCGAGCCTCAGTTTCCCCGTCTGTAAAGGTTCCAATCGCAAATGCGGGATACTGCGATACTGGGGTGAATAAAGCCACGACTGGGCTGGCTTGTCGTGGCACAGCGTGGGAACCTTGGCTCTGCACCGGCTTCCCCGCCACCAGCATGAACTGTATTTCCCCATTCGTGCAGCAGCTCCCACCTGCACCCCACCTGTGCTTCCAGCACTCCCAGTCCCCTTCCTTTTACTGCTTCCGTGGCTGCTGCCCAAGTCCTCAGGCCTGACCTCACCCCTGCCTCCCTCGGCTACCCTGTGTAAGACCAGCTCATTCCATAGCCGTCTCAGCTGTTCGTAGTCTGTAATGCAATTTATTTTTTCCGTGTCAGGGCCGACTGTAAATTCCTTGAAGAGAGGACGCTGTGTTCACGATCGTAGTCCCAATGCCGCTGTACAGTCCATGGTGACACATCACAATACAGTGATACAGTTTTTCCTTATTAATATAATTTTTTGGAGAGACAGAAAGATGAGGTGAGAGGAAGAGAGAGGGAGAGCGAGCTCTCCCATCTACTGTTTCATCCCCCAATTCCTGCAATATCAGGGGTTGGTCAAGCCTAAACTGGGAGGTGGGATCTCAATCCACATTTCCCATGTGGTGGCCATCACTGCTGCCCCCTATGGGCCGCATTAGAAGTTGGAGTCCGATTATTTTCCTTTTCTGAAGGGTCCAAACTCTATCTACAAAGCCATGGGCCCATACCCTTTACTCGATATATACTTAACATGTTAGTTCTGATGCTGCCTCCACAGGATGCCTTCCATGATTACACCTCTGCCACTGGCCCCCAAATTATTCCTGTTTTCTTTGGGTTCTCATTGTTCCTTCCTGTCCTCCTGGGTGATCCTGACCACACCCTGTTGTGTCTCTCTGAATCTCTTCTAATTTACTAGGAGCTCTTAAAGCTAAGATTCTTTATTATTTCCTTCTGTAACCCTGCACCAGGGACCAGCTGTCACAAGTCTACCCTAAATGCATGCTGAAAAATTCATGTGGTGTGATGCTAAGTGGGAAAAGGAAGGAGGGCTGTAAGCACCTGTTTCTCAAATAATCATTAATTACACAATTGGCTCTTGCAATGTGAGTAAGCAGCCCATCCCAGCTATCTCCCATGGGAGGCTATGTCTGCAAGAAAGGGTCAACTTAACCTTCTCCAAAGCAGTGAGGGCGGGATGTTCCAGCACGTCTGGGACTTAGTCCGCAAGGGAAATGCAGTAAGAAATGCCAGTTCTGGAAAATAGCAACCCAAGAAAAGCTGATGGATTTAGCAAGTGGGGGGAAATAGAAAAAGCAAAGAAGTGTTGATTCTATATTTTAGACAATATTCCCAAAGGTGTTGGCAGCGTTGATAGAAAATGTATGCACACTCTAAATAAGGCACCTGGCAGGCCTCCATTCAGGGCAGACTTGTGTAATTGCCTTAAGCCATATGGGGGAAGCTAAGGCCCAGAGAAGTGCCTGGACAGGTTGCAGCCAGGACTAAAGCCTTAAGTCCTGAGCTTCCCTATACATGTGAACAGGTAGATCATATTCACACAAATTATTTGTCAATGCATAGTTTTCTGTTGGCAAAAGTTTCAAATCCCAGGTTGGGTGCTTGTGCTAGGGTTAAGACACCTGTTAGGCGGTTGGCACAATGGATAATCCTTTGCCTGCAAGCACCAGCATCCCCTATGGGTGCCAGTTTGTGTCCTGGATGCTCCACTTGCCATCCAGCTCCCTGCTTGTGGCCTGGAAAAGCAGTAGAGGATGGCCCAAAGGCTGGGGCTCCTGCACCCATATGGGAGAACCAGAAGAAGCTCCTGGCTCCTGGCTTCAGATCGACTCAGCTCTGGTCATTGTGGCCACTTGGGGAGTAAACCAGTGGATGGAAGATGTTTCTGTCTCTCCTTCTCTATATCTACCTGCTTTTCCAATAAAAATAAAAAATGTTAAAGAGTCCTATTAGGATGCCTACTTCTCACATTTGAGATTCTGGTTTTGATCCTAACTCCAGCTTCCTGCTATACTGCAGACTCTGGGACTATTAGCCCAAGATGGCCACCTCTGGTCAAAACAGAGAAGCCAAGATTATCTTGAATTAAGTTTCCCTGACATCTGACAACAAAAGGCAGGAGCAAAATGTCAGGCCAGGAGAGGCACTGCAGCAAAGCTGAGGGTCGGCAGTAAAGGCTCATGGAGTGTTTCCTAGAGTGTGGATTTTCTAGATTTATAGTCTGTAACATGGACTCTATGAATATTCTAACACAGAAAACGCAGACACTGAAAGCTTAAGTAGCTTGTCCAGAGTCCACCAAGATTAATTTAACTGGCTTCACTGAGATCAGTGAGAAAGGAATGGAATTGATTTTTCTTGCTCTAATATTACCCTTGAAAAAGCAAATCTAATTTGGAGATTTAAAGTTTGCCCTTTCAAATAAGAAGGGACAGGGTAGACACACAGGGGTCCCACCCATCAGGGAAGGTAACGGAATACTCCTGCCAGTAGGGAGCCGTGTAACTGCGGCGTTTACTGCCACCTGGTGGCCAACCATGATGTCAGGATCCCTGAGGCAGGTGCTAAGCTACAACCTCAGCTTAGGAAAGCAGAATTTGTCAAATGTCACCTGAGTGTTGCATCCACCTGCGAAGGTTATTGTCATGTTGGTGTGAAAGAAGCCCAGACTTTTCTTGACCTTTACCTTCCTCCCTCATCCCTGGCTTCTTCTTCCGTGCTCCCTGAAATCTATTCCTCTCACTATTCACACTTTCCCGGTGAGAATCTACTGATCTGTGCCCCACTCCCATGTGTGCACCCTGACATGGGCAGGGACTCATCTTGGCCTGTGACTTCTCAAGCCCCTCACACAAGTCCTGACATGAAGGCAGCTACCGAATGCGTGTTTGTTGAATGAATGAATCTGAAGGCGTGCTTTTGACGCAAACTCATCACCAAGCCGTGTGTTTTCAGGTCAAGAGAAAGGAGCAATTTATTTGAATACTCTATATCGTAAACATTTGATGGAGTGGAAAAGGACTGGAAGGTTCCTTGGGCAAGTGTCTGGGGTGGGGGGGACAGAGCACTTAACGGGCCATGGGTTTGGGGAAAGAACCTCATAGGGCAGTGGACGCCCGGAACTTTTGGGTCAAACAAAACACGGCAGCCGTGAGGGCCGTGCAGTGGCGGGCCAAGAGTTTGACACTCAGGTCCTGGTAGCCCCTCTCGCACGTGAGCCTGGCCGCCTCTACAAACTGGTGATAAGTATATACCACGTCCCTCAGGTTCCCAGCTGCTTCGCGGTGCCGGCCTGAGCAGCGACTGCAGTCTGTGAGCTGGAAGCACAGGCCGGCCAGCTGCACCAGGTGAGGGAAGGTGTCACGCACCGCCCCCTGCATCTCTTCGGGGGACTGGTCCATCCGGATGACGTGCTGACAGCTCGACAGCAGCTTCTGGGAACCCATGCAGAGGCGGCTGCGGCTTTCAGAAAAGTGCCAGGTGCACTTCTCCGGGGGGTGCTTATTGCCCACCCCCCAGGAGGCTTCCAAAATGTCTTGTAGCTCCAGCAGGCTCTCCAGGAGGCGGATGAAGCCCTCCGGGGTGCTGGCCGGAGTGGCTTTCAGCTGCCTCAGTGCCCTGGAGCAGTACTCCGGCCAGATGTGGCTCTTTCTGGACAGCGCAGTGGGGGCTGTGCTGCAGCTGTGGGCTCGGGCAGGCTTCCAGGGCAGGTGCAGGCGGTTTCCTGTGGAGGAGGGTGGGGAGGTGAGAGGAGCTTCAGGGCATGCTGTGGGGTCCATCTCCTCTTCTTCCATCTCGGGCTGTGGGACGCCCCTGAAGCACGTGGCATAGGAGAGCTGACAGCTGCACTGCTCCATCCCGATCCTGCGGGCCGCTTTCTCAGTCAAGCCTGCAAAACCCAAAGCCGTGGCCACCCTGAGACTGGCAGAGACTTCAGGATGGCTCTCTGGAGGAAAGCACAGGAAGGACTTCTCCATGGCCAGGCAGGGGCCAGAGCCACGGCCTTCGCTTTCTGCAGGAGGTTCTGGATGGGCCTCTCCTTGAGGGCATGGCAGTGGCTTCGGAGGGCAAGGGCCTGCATGAAAGCAGATCTGCTGAGGGGCTGTGTCTTCCCCCAGCACATGGCTAAGTGGCTCTGTCCCAATCCCTGCTGCCAGTGAGGCGGAGGGGACATTCTCCCCCAGTAAGAAATCGGGTTCCAAGTCTAACTCCAACAAGAGTTTTTGTTCTTGGGTCTGGCAGGCTTGCTTTGGGGTGTCTCTGCTTTGTTCCTGGGGGTCCCTAGGAAGAGGTGATGGGGTCTGTTCTGTCCCTGTTTCAGGAAGTGCTACAGTGAGGGAGATGATCCCTCCATCAGGAACCTGTGGGTCCGTGTGTGACATGGCATCCTTGGGATCATCCAGATGCTTCCCTGATTCCTCCCTAGACCAGCTGGCATTTGAAACTCTCTTGTCAGTTTCCCAAGGCAGCTGTCCCTGTTGCTCCTCCTTCACAGAGCCTGAAGCCATCTTCCCCTGTGGACTGAGTCTACCTCCAGCGCCCTCAGGCCCATCTCTGGGAGACAGCAAAGGCCCTGGGTGTTTGGGGGTTGGGTTTTGCATGTGGTTTGTGCAGAGAACACCCGATTCCATTGCCAGCCAGACCCCCGCCAGCTCTTGCGTGCTTCTCTGAGAGACTCGTGGCAGCCCTGGGCTGCTGGCCAGGCAGACTGTGTCTGGGTCAGTGTGGGTACTCGAGAGACGTGAGGTGCTGTCGTCCAGCTCCACACTGAGGCCTTTAGGGGTGGAGCTCTGTGCATCTTGGAGCAGAGGGCTGGTTGGCAAAGGTCTGGTTTGCACGGTGTCTGGGCCTGAGGGACCCGGGTTAGGACAGCAAGGAGCAGCTGCTGAGGAGCTGCCAAGGGTGACAGTGGAAGGGGCAGCCCCAGGCGGCTCTTTGTGAGCAGAGTCAATGCGGAGGCGAATGGCTGAGATGGAAGACACTCGTGAGTCAACGACCGACTTGGTTTCCATGGTCTCAGGCTCCATCTCCATGACCCTGGAAGCCGGGTTCTTGTTCTTGGTCTCCCTGAGCGGGACCAGCAGCCCCAAGGCCTTGGTCTCCAGGAGGCCTGGCTCGCCTTGCATGTCCTGCAGTGAGGACACGGTGGGTGAGGGTACCCCGAGGGTGAGGTAAGGCTCCCTGTCGTAGTAGCACACGTCGTCCATGCTCTCCAGGGAGACGGCTGACGTGAGGGGGAAGGAGACATGTGAGGTGTAGGCAGTCTGCAGGAAGGATCTTCTTTTCCTCAGGCTCTTGGGGTACTTTTCGGCCCCACCCCTTCTGCTCTCCTCACTCCCCTCCGGCCCAGGACGGAGGCTGTCCTTGGGGTTGCGGCTGCCAGCCTCACCACGCATGCTCAGGGTGTGGGGTTCTGCAGCAGAAACAGCGCTGGACCCTGGGAATCAAGAAAGAAGAAAGTGCATTAAACAACAACAAAGAGGTATAGAGCTTCCGGCTCAGGCCCCGGGCTTGCCTGGGTTTAGACCCTGGCTGGGAGTATGTGACTAGACCAAGGGAAATAGTTTTGTAGATACATTTTTAAAATTTTTTATTGATTTAAATATTAATTTGTTTGAAAAGAGGGAGAGAGAATCTTTTACTCACTACTTTAGTCACCAAGCAGCCTCAACAGCAGAACAGCAGGGCTTGGGCCAGGTAGAACCCAGGAGCCTAGAATTCCACCCAGGTCTCCCATGTGCAGGGCAGGGCCCAAGTTCATGGTCCATCTTTTGCCTTCCCTGGTACATCAGCAGGAGCTAGATTGGAAGTGGAGCAGCTGGGGACTTGAATTGGCTGTCCAATAATGGAGGCCAGCTTAACCCACTGCACTCCAACGCTGGCCTCTGATGAGTTAAATCTGGATCTGGATCCCCTCCATGTTACCATTGGAAAAAGAAGGACTGTAATTTTAAGAGGTTTTTTTTTGGTTTTTTTTTTTTTTTTTTTGGTTGCTAAAGATCCACTTCATTGCCCTTTTGTCACACTACCTCATCTTTCTTTTCAGGGGAGTTTCCTTCTGCAGGAACTATTAATGAAATGCCCTGACTACCCCAGCCAGGAGATCAAGTTTATGACTCAGACGGTCAGTTTGGCTTCTTTTATGCATACATGTTAATAAAAACAAACACAGGGTATTCAGTAGGACCTAGTGTCCTGGCAAAAGTCCCACACAAAGGCTCTGCCTGAGGGTTTCCCCTGTGTCCCCCAGCACAGTGGCTAGCCTGGGCAGGGGGCACAGAAGGCTGCTGGCTGAGATCTCTGGGGGAGTAGTGCAGACTGGACAGACAGCTGCAGACAGTTTTCAGAAAAACAACAACACATCATAATTCTATAAGGAAGAGCAGGTCGGACTGTGTCCAGAATCTTGAGTTCACAGACAACTGGCTCTGAAGACCAAGGTCAAACTTTGGTAACACTCTGAGGATGGACGCTAATCTGAGACCAAGGTCAAGGCCAGTGGGCAAGGGTCTGCAGTTGGGCAATGGTCCAAGGCCATGGGACTGAACTGTGTGCTTTAAGAGATCCTTGACACTCACATACCGACTGCTGTGCTTGGGCCACACTTGCTTTCTGATCATCAAGCATTGGCTGATTAACCTCAATATGGGACATGCCTATCAAAGTTTATGCCACATCACTTCATGTTAATTTGATTCCCCAAGCAGTTCAATAAAAGGTTGAGGCAGCAAGCCTGCTGTCTGAGTCAACCTCCTTTCCTTAGAGAAAGGGGCTTCCCTCTGGTTGCCCATCTTTTTTTTTTTTTTTTAAATAATCTTACTTAGTTGATTAGGGTACAAAGGGTCAAGGGTTACAGGATGAAAGTGGGTAATACCGTTGCTTCCACACTAATATTATCATTTTTTCCCTGTATCTGGGGTCAGGGGAGAAACAAAGGGAAAAGCCCCACCCAGCCTCCCACCCATCCCAGATCCCCAATGTGAAGCGTGCTCCGAGGGTCCTGCTCAAGCAGTTTTGATAGTTCAACAGTCTGGATTGCTGTCTGGCTGCCCATTTTTATAGTCTTCATCTTGCATCAATTTAATTTCTTATCTTCCCAGTTGCATGTCATTTCCCTCTCCGCCCCTGCTCATGCCATGCACTACAGAGCTACCAGAGGAGGGTCCATGAATTCACATGTCTGCCACTGCTGGGCACTGTGTTCTAGGGGCACAGTGAAGAGTGAGACACTCTGAGTTCCTGCACTGGGAGAAACACCTGCACAGTCACACAAATAGATGTACTTGGGCCCAGTATGATGACTCAGTGACTAAACCCTCACCCTGCACTCGCTGGGATCTCATTAGGGGCACCAGTTTGTGTCTCAGCTACTCTACTTCCCATCCGGCTCCCTGCCTGTAGCCTGGGAAAGCAGTCAAGGACGGCCCAAAGCTTTGGGACCCTGCACCCATATGGGAAACCCAGAAGAGGCTCCTGGCTCCAGATCAGCTCAGCTCTGGTCATTGTAGCCACTTGGGAGTGAACCAGTGGAAGAACTTTCTGTCTCTCCTTCTGTCTGAAAATCTGCCTTACCAATAAAAATATGTAAATTTAAAAATAAATAAATAAGTGCACTTGCAAGATCACAGATCATGGCCACAGGATGCTGTAAGAGCCCCTGTAAGGGGTATAAGGGGCTTGGTGGGCAGCTGAGCTGGACCGATGGCTGGGCCTCAGCCAAGGCCAGGTGGGGGTCTACGTTTAGGGCAGAAGGGCGGAGATGGAGGGGAGCCTGGCACTTCTCCATGAAACCTGGTGAGGAGGTCTGGCCTGCGTGTGTCAGGAATGCCGCCCAGGGGATGGAAGGACCTCGCAGGGTCTGCTAAGGAGCTGGCTTTTCTGCCAGGGGCACTGGGAAATCACCAGAGGGAGGGCGAGGAACAGGGAATCAGACAGCAGCAGGGAGAAGACTGAAATGGCAGCGGAAGTGCGGACTTCCCAGCAGCTCGCCCTCAATGTGTAGGTGCTGCTTTCCCTCTTCCTTCAGTGTGTGTGTGTGTGTGTGTGTGTGTGTGTACATGCTCAGAGAAGGAACATATGAGGAACCCGAAGGACTCATGGCGATAGGTTCCCGGCTTCAGGGTCTCTTGGGTCACAAAAGGCCTTGCAGGGAAAACCTGAATCCTGCCAGTCAAGTTTTTACTGCTTCAGGGTCAACAGGGGCAGCCACTCTCCTTGCTGGACACACTTGGTGGGTCAACCCTATCTCTCGCGCGCATGTCAATTCTGTCCATCTTACTAAGCACAGTTGCCAGCTCCTCCAGGAAGCCCTCCTGCCTCTGCTCAACCACCGGTCTCTGTACTTCTCCTTGCAGCCCCAACTAGAAAGCACACTGCTTTGCAGTTCAGCCCTTAGAATCTGGCTGAGTGGTCAAGTATCCTGTTTCACTTTGGGGTCTTCTAGGACTGGGGTTTAGTGATCAGGAGGGTCTCGGGTTCCACCTGGAGCAGGGGTTCACCTGAGAGGCCGTCGGGGGGTGTGAGTTTGTCAGCTGCATCGTAATATTCCTCATCTGAGCTGCCGTCCTCCAGGGCCAGGGGTGGTGGATGCAAGGCCAGGCCTTCTGGCATGGAGCTGGGCCGGGCTTCTGGCCAAGCCTGCTGACCACGGGACGCAGTGCTGTCTGAGCTGTCGCTCAGGTGGCTGGCTGGGGAGACACTGGAGCACAGGCTGTAGTAGTCGAACCGGCTGCCCTCGTAGAGCCTGGGGTCCAGCCGGGTGGTGCCAAGGTCTGCGGCCCAGCTGAAGGTCTCAGCAGCAGGGCCCTGCAGGAATTCTGCCTTCGGGCACCGTGGGCTGGCTTCCTGGGCCAAGTCAAGAAGACAGAAGAAGCCACCAGGGTCTGAGCTACTCCTCTCCTCTTGGCCCTCAGGGAAGGCCGGTGAGCAAAAGTGGAAGAAGGAGGACCTGCTGGAGGAGCAGGCGTCCAGGTCGTCCTCTTCCAGTGCATCCATGGATTCACTTGAGCCACTGGTCCGACAGCCGCGGCTCTCTGTGTTGGCCGAATCGGAGGCCTCGGACTCAGCGCTGTCTGGGGTGCTGTTGGGCCCGCAGGAGCTTGGGCCTCTGCTGGCTGTCTCAGGACGGGTGCCATTCCCGGAATGGCACTCTTCTTTGGTGAGGGGTCTGCAGGAGGCCAGTGGGCCCAGGCGTCTCTCAGAAAGGGATTCCAGCACACAGTCGGCCTCCGAGGATTCCTCTGAGTCGCTGCAGGTCCTGGACTCGTAGCCTGAAACAGGGATGGTGAGGGTTATGGACCGTGCAGGCAGGGCTTGCAATTATCTGTGGGGCTTGTCACCCCTCACCTGGCAAGGGAGGAGTTGGGCCCAGTCAGGTGACACTGAGCCCAGGCACTCCTATTCCATGCTTCCCCCACACCATCAAGCCACCTGACCCACATCTGTCCAGGCTACCCAGAGGAGACAGGATTCGCTCTACACTCACCAACTTCCTTCTTGGATTTCTCAGCTACATCCTGTCTGAGTGTTAGAGTCTTGGTGGGGCGGGGGAAGAGAACAGGCATTTGAGAGAGCAGCTAAGATGCTACTGAGACACTCATACCCCATAGCAGAGAGTGTGGTTTAAAGATTTCTTCATTTTTATTGGAAAAACAGATCAGATTTACAGAGAGAAGGAGAGACAGAGAGAAAGATCTTCCGTCCATTGGCTCACTCCTCAAACCACCACAAAGGCCTGAGCTGAGCTGATCCAAAGCCAAGAGCCCAGAGCCTTTTCTGGATGTCTCATGTACATGCAAGGTATCAAGGCTTTGGGCCATCCTTTTACTTCTTTCCCAGGCCACAAACAGGGAGTTGGATGGGAAGTGAAGCAACCAGGACACAAATTGTTACCCATATGGGATCCTGGTGCTTGCAAACTGAGGATTTAGCCATTAAGCCATCATGCTGGGCCCAAGTCTGGCTTAAGTTTTGGCTCCTCTTCTCATCTACCTCTGCCATGAGTATCCTGGAAAGCAGCAACTGATGGCTTAGGTGCTTCAGGCCCTGCCACCTGCTTGGAAGAGTCAGACTCAATTCCAGGCTCCTGGCTTTTACCTAGCTGGGTATGGCTCTGGGAGGCACCTGGGGAATGAACTAGCAATAGAAGACCTCTTTTTCTCTATCTCTCACCTTTCATATCAAAATGAAAATATCCTTTAAAAAATCATATGGAGAGTCTTATTTTAAAGTTCTCTTGTCATATTCCTGGCATAGTGAGTGAAATCTCAAGGATGTGGGGTCTCAGAGTCTGTATTTTCAGCAACTTGATGGTAATCATGAGAAGCAACTGGGCTGGCACATGCTGAAGCCTGGCCTTGGGGACCCACAGGTGCAGTAGGCCTTTGGGATGGTGAAGAGTCACCTAGCTGCAGGAAGGAACCATGACAGGACAGTGGGGGTCACGCAGACACATCTCCACCCTGTTTAAAATCCAATCAGCCTCCAGAGATCTTTCTAGAACTTCTCCATGATTGCAAACCCTGTGATAGCTTCCTGAGCTCTACCAGGAGCTCCTCAGTCACTCCTCTGCATCGTAGACCCACAGGCCACTCACGGGGTAGCCCTGCTCCTCCTCCATGGCCTGGCTGCCCACCAGACTCCATGCACACAGATAGTCTCTCATACAATGTGATATGTGTCCCTCCCTGCTGTCTCATTTCCCCCTTCCTCCTACGACCTCCTTTCCTGGCCTGGGGAGCTCCAGTCTCATTCTTCCAGCTCAAAAACCTTCCTTCTAGAACACTTTCCCCAACCTCCTTCCCACTGCCACAATTGCAACAGCCCTGCCCCTGCTGTGTCTCCCTGGCCAGAGAAGGAGGCATCACTACTTAGCCACAATGACCCTGTAAAATTAAAAGGCATAAATGCGCAAAACTCTTCATTTCTTAATTACACTCGGTCCTTAGTATGGTGGCCTCTGCATTCACAGGTTCAACCAACACTCATGGGTTCAAAAACATGCAGGAGGGCAGGTACTTAGCCTGATGGCAGTTAAGATAGAACTTGGGACACCTATATCCCACACCGGAGTGCTTCGGTTCAAGTCTTAACTCTGCTCCCTAGTCAAGCTTTCAACAAATACAGTTCCTGGGAGGTAAAAGAATGTTTCAAGTAGTTTAGTTCCTGCTACCATGTGGTCCAACCCTAGTCATTCCAGGCATTTGGGGGAATGAACCAGCAGAAGGGAGACCTCTCTCTTTCTCTCAAAGAAAATAAATAAATTTTAAACAATCAGGGAATAACTGCTTCTGCACTGAATGTGTATAGATGTCTTTTCTTGTCATTATCACCTAAACAATCCAGTTTTGCAATTATTTACATAACATTTACTCTCTATGAGGTAGTTTAAAGAATCTAGATATGATTTAAATTATATGGTAGGCAACATGCAAATTCTACACCATATTTATACAAGGGACTTGAGTCTTTGTGGGTCCTGGTGTTTCTCAGGGGGGCCCTGAGACCAGTCCCCCACAGACACCAGGGCATGGCTATATTTTACCCAATCTGATTATCATCTATTCTCTTGAGATAATTAATGGCTGTTTAATCTATGTGGAGCCAACACTGAATCCTAGTGAGCTACTGAGCATCTCTTCCCACCTCCACACTCAGTGATGTCCTGCTGGAAGCTCAGAAGAGGACAAGATGGGGCAGCTTCTACCATGCAGGTAGGCAGCGCTTTTGCCCCCTGCAGAGACCACTGTCAAACACTTAACTAGCATGCCCCTGGGAACACGCAGCATCCCTGCAAGGTTGACAGCTGGGCCTGGAGTTGGGCCTCACCTACCCTCCACTTTTCCACTCTCCACATGGCCTGATCTCAGACCTCTCTGTCTTTACACCTCCTTCTTCTAAAAACAGAAGGTTGAGAAATTCTATTATAGTTCAAGAGAATGCAAACGAGTGCATAGGCATGGGAGAGAGGCCAACTCACCTACTTTTAGAACCCATCAGTTAGGTTTCTCTTACTAAGAAATACAGATAAATACAGTGGGGTCTTAGGAACGATCTTCAGGAAATATCAGAGAATGAGACCTTTAGTGGCCTTCCTTGGAGAATTTCTCTATTTTCTACTTAGGAGAGCTCCACTGCTTACTTGAAAATAAAAAGAACAGTGGCTCTCCCCTGCCTGAGTGGAAGTCTCAGCCCAGCCTAGCTAGCACACTACCTCCGTGCAGGCTGCCCCTAGCAGCGAGGCCAGAGAAATGGCCTCATCATTATTAGGATGACAAACCACGTCTCACCTTCCTCAGCAGACACCCGGTGCCCTTGTGGTTTGCTTCCAGGCCACAGGAAGATGGAGGTTACTGGATCAACGAAGAGCCTGTAGTAGCCAGCAATCAGGCAGGCAAGGTCTTTTGCACTGTTGGATTCCAGCAGCAAAGTCAGAACCTGGGAAGGCAAAGAGAACTCTTGGGTTTACCAAGGGCACAGACAGGGTCGGGAGCCTGACAAGAGGGCTGTGTGAACCCAGCCATGCAACCAGACAGCTCCCAGCTGCCCCCCACCCCCACCCAGAGGGCTCTGCATGCACATGCACACACATATATATGTGCACAGTCACCCAAGTATACCTGCATACAGGCACAGATGACAGGCACAGCACACAGACATACAATGCATGTGTGTACACATGTGCACAACTACTTTAGCGAATGTGCATATGCTCATACACACAATCACGCTGTAGGTGTGTGTGTGTGTGTGTGTGTGTGCGTGCAGACCATCTGAGTGCATGTACATACTTGTACAACCACCTGAATGTCGCTACATGTACACACAGAGCTACAATGCACATGTATATACATATGTGTTTATGTGATCACCTGAGAACATCTGCAGACACACACAATCAGTGCACACATGCACACACACATACATTTGCACATACACAATGGCCTCCTCTCCTGGAATCTGTACAATGTCTGTCTCTCCACCCTCTGCCCTGGCTCCTCATCCCACCCTACCTCAGTCAGTCATATAATGGGGCCTTTAAGACCTGAACTAAAAAACACAAAGGAGCAAGAATTAGTGGAGGGATGAGAGTGATGAGAAGAATAGAGCACCTGTTGGATTAAGTCAGAAGAGGGTGGGATCAACGCAGGGTGTTCACAGAGGCACAGGACATCCTTTATTCTATTTATTCCTTTGCTTCCATTTCTACCACTCAGTCACTTGGGCAGCTGCCCCAGCCCTATCCATGTAATTAGAAATCCTCTGGTGTTCCCAACAGTCTTTGCCAACACAAAGGGAACTCAAGGTCTAAGCTTTCCATGTGGGAAGCACACGACCCAGCTTGGATCATCGCCAGGATAATTTGCACTTTGGTCACCCTTCTCCCTTTGCTGGGACAGGGTAGGAAAATCACCCTCTTCACCAGAAGTGGACCTTATTATGATTCAAAATTCACAGAAACCACCCTGGGATGAGCCAACCCCCATTACAGAAGTTGCGTTCAGCAGTTCTGCCCTTGTGTTCGTTACCTTGACATCCTGCAGGTACACCTTGACCATGCTCACTTTCTCAGACTCTTCCGTGAGCTCCACGCGGCTGATGTTTGCAAACTCGGCCAATGTGGACATGATGTTGAGCTTACTGTTGATAATCTGGCTGATGCCATACTTGGCTCCTACTAAGATGGCAATGTAGGATTCTCTATCCTGTAACTGTGAGGGGTTGGGGGAATAGGATTGGAAGCAGGATCAGTCTCCATTCACAAGCTGGTGAGTAAACACACTGCTATCTCTTCCAACAATTTCGTGTGTGCATTTTATAAAGAATTGGAAGACAGGAGTTCAAAAGCTCTCCACTCAAGATACATGTCTCAGACAGAAATGCTAATTACCCTGAGTTGATCATTACACATTATAGACATACATTGAGTTATTATGCTGTACCCTATAGATACAGAAAATTATTATACAAAAAAATTGAAAAAAGTGACATCTCTCTAGTAACTCTTTTAGCTTTTATTTCTGATTTTCTCTGCCAATCCCCAAAATGACTGCCTGACTTGGGTCTAGTCTATAGTAAATAAATAGGAATTTCCCTGTCATAAGCCCCTTTCCAACAGAGTGCTGAACCCAGGACTGGTGTTCCTCCATGCTTTCACACTTATGTGTCTGCAGCTTGCTGTGCTCCTCCTGGAATTGGTTCCCTGTTTGTGGACATCCTGACCCTGATTGGCCCATGCACACTAGACCTCCTGGCCCAAGACTGCACTTGGCCATACTCAGCCTGCTCCCGCCCAGAGTAGCCCTTTTATTGGAATTGCTCCCATACTTCTTCCTCTGGTCTTTGCTCACAGCACTGACATCCTATACCAATGACTTCTGGTGAAGTCTCATATTCTAGTTAAGTTTGTGGGCTTCAGAGCCTGTAGGGCTTCAATATCTATTTAATATTTTTAATTTTAAAAGATTTATTTATTTTTATTGGAAAAGCAGATCAGATTTACAGAGACAAGGAGAGACAAAGATCTTCCATCCACTAGTTCATTCCCCAAACTGCCACAATGGCCAGGACTGAGCTGATCCAAAGTCAGAAGCAAGGAGCCTCTTCTGGTCTCCCACGTGGGTGCAGGGTCTCAAGGCTTTGAGCTGTCCTTGATTGCTTTCCCAGGCCACAAACAGGGAGCTGGATGGGAAGTGGAGCAGCTGGGACACAAACTGGTGCCCATAAGGGATCCTGGTGTTTGCAAGGTGAGGATTTAGCCACTAAACCATTGCATTGGGCCCTGCAGATATCAATATTTAAACTGCCAGTGCCCAGCAAGCACCCAAGGCTAAGCCCATATGGTCAGTTGCTTCTCCCATTCCTAGGAAAGGTGATGGGAGATGGAGGGAACAGGATCCTGACAGCTGGGAAAGGGCAGGACTTTAGCCCTTGGCAACCTCCTGAAGCTTTTTCTGGCCCTTCAAATTCTTCCTTTTATTGTTTCCTTTACATCTTCTGAGCCTTCTACTTATATACTCTATCTGTTTTGTCTTTCCTTTAACCATCCCACTCTGTCCCTCAAAGTATGGGTTTTCCTTTTACATACTGCATGGTTGGGTTAACCATCAGTTAGATCCAATCATCACAAGCATGGGCCCATCATCACAAGAATTATACAGACCTATCACTGTTAATGACTGAGAGGCGCGATCCTCTGAAAAGAATTTATTTGATTGATATTAAAGAAAATAAAACACACACACACACACAAACAAACCCAAACATCTAACTGGTGAACCCACTGTGTGCTAGACAGCCTTGGGCTGTCTGAGCGGAGCAGGGGCATAGGCCATACCACTTCCTCTCCAACCCCCTACCTGACGCCCACCCCAGTCCCAACACCAACTGCTGAAAAGCACCTGCTCCAGCCCAGGCTCCAAATAGGAAGCAGGAGAAAGAACAGGAGCTGATGGTTGCCCTCTGTTGGCTCCTTTCACTTCTCAGGCCCACCGACCTCCCTGTGTGGAGGCTCAGGGCCCAGCTGAGTAGTCAGTCTCCCATCTGTATCCCTCCTTCCCAATTCCTGATCTTCCCTCTTCACATTCCCACATCCCAGGTTGTGGAGAAGACAGCTTCTAGGACCCTCGCTTGTGATGTATCTCCTTTATATCCAAATGTGGCCAGGTTCAAGGCCGGGCCCTTCTTCTACCCCTCCCCCTTCTTAGGTTCAACCTGAAGCCAGCAGGCATGCCCCAGCAGTGGTCCTGCTCTGTCTTTTGGCTTTGCTACCTTCTCTTGGG